GCTGCTGGGTATGGAATGTTCAAGCTTCACATTGTTCAGGACACATGGTAGAGGGGGGAAGCCACATGAAAGATTGTCCCAGTCACTGCGGACCCAGCACGCAACACCCAGTCAGCCTTTGCATCAACCCTGGAAGGCCAGTGGCCGTGGGACCTCTGGTGATGGCCGGGGATGGTAGCATGCAAGGGCTGACAGCATGAGTGGTTTTTGTTCCCAGGACAATTCTTCCATCCCTTTGACTTTAAAGTGTCTGACATCCACCGAGGCTCTGACCCCACAAAGCCAGATGCCACCATGGTGGTGAAGAACCATCGACTGACGGTCACCAGGTGAAGGCACTCCACTGGCATCCTTCCCCTGCCCAGTAACAAGACAGGAGGAGAGAGCCCTCTCCTTCCACGCACATTGGCCCGGCAGGCTCTTGTCTCCTGTGGGGTACCTACCCTTGTTTCCCTCCGGGGTCCTGGGCCCCCTCTAGGCCCCTCCTAATCAGGAAAAGGCCAAACCCGGCCCCCTAGAAGGAGTTAATCATTTGATCTCTTTCTTGTCCAAAGAGTTCTAGACTCTAAGAATTAGCAACTTCACACCCTTTTCCTGCCTTAAGTCCATGAGCCTAGCAGCTGTCTGGTCCACCCTGTGTGTCACAGTGTCTCTTTCCTTTTTCCCAGGGGCTCCCAGAAAGACTACAGGAAGGATGTCAGCTTCGGCACCAAGGTCGCCTGCTGGTTTGTCCACAACAACGGGGAAGGGTTGATTGACGGTGTCCACAGCGACTACATTATCCCCGAGCTGTTCTGAGTAGACATGCCCACTCCTGCCGAGACGGCTGGCCCAGCTCGCCTGGCATCTGGAACGGGCCCAGAGCAGGGCCTGAGGGAGGGCTGTGACAATAAAGCCCAAGGGGACACTGCCCCAGCCTCTGCATGCCTCTATGAGCCCCTGCTCCAGGGAACAGGCCATTGGGCCCCGAGGTAGCTCCAAGGAGGGGTTGGCTGCTAGGAAAGTAACTCTCTGGGTTTCCGCACCGATGCTGGTGAAAGACAGGGTTGGTTGGGGTGGCACCTTGGGGGACCAAATGTATGGTGGTTTGGGAAGGAAAAAGCCAAGAACTGACCCTGGTGCGAAGGGGTTCTGAGAAGTCGAGAAGGGCTGAATGCACTCCAGAGTCCAGGAGGGTCGTAAGAAAAGTCAGGGGTCGTGGCTCAGTGCTCCTATCAGGCCCACAGGCCTGAAGATCTTTCTATGATGCAGAAGCAGAGAGTGCGCTGGAGCAGACCTAGCCTGCAGCTCATTATGGATGTCATTCATCCCTCCATCTTCCCATTAGCTGGCCAGCCACCCCCCTCACCCATCCCCTAGCCAGCCACCCCCCACCACCCACTAGCCAGCCCCCATCCACTAGCTACCCAACCCCCCACCACCCACTAGCCAGCCCCCATCCCACTAGCCAGCCCCCATCCACTAGCTACCCCCCCCACCCACTAGCCAGCCCCCATCCACTAGCTACCCACCCCCCCACCATCCACTAGCCAACCCCCATCCACTAGCCATCCAGCCAGCCAGCCAGCCAGCCAGCAGATAAACCGAACATTCTGATTCTGGGCCAGAATCTGGGGGCACACAGCTTAGTAACCCAGTTCCTCTTTGCATGGGTGCCCCAAGTTTGCTAGCAGCTAGGCTGAGAATCCTTTTGATCCTTCAATCACAACTCATGGTGACCACCAGCTCCACCCCCACATTAAGTCCTGCGTGGGGTTGGGGGTCAGACAGAGATTCCCGGAGGAGGGGCTCTGAGGGCTCTCAGCCTGGACAACCCTCTCCCATCAGGACAACTGCAACACCCCTTCCTGGGTCTCCCTGCTTCCACAGAGGGATTCTGTAGAGCAGAACTGACCGTCAGTCCCTGCCTAAAACCCTCTAAATAACACCTCCCACCCACTGATCTTGGAACAAAGGCCAAAATCCTACCTATGGCCTCTCTCGCTTCACCAACCCCACACACCAGGTGTTTCCCCTCACTTTCAGGGTTCCAGACACACGGACTGCTTCCAGTTCTGCAAACCTAACCCCTCCCGCCCCAGATCCTTTGGCTCTGCTGTTGCCTCTGCCTGCAGGGCTCTGGGTGCGCTGTGCAGAGGGTACCCGCTGAAGGAAGCTGTGGGCAGCTTGGATGGCAGAGCAGGGCCACAACCTCCTGGAAGAGGTTGGGGTTAGACTGAGAATGGCAGTGGAGGGTGGGATCTGGCGATGGGTCACCAGGAAATTCCCCTACCTCCCAGTCCAGGGGCCCGTCTGCCTGAGCCAGAACAGGGTTTCCCAGGACCTGGGGGCCTGGAGGAGGGCCCTGGGGAGGCCGGTCCAGGAGAATACATAAGGCCCTGCCACCCATTCGGTCCCGGGTTGACTGAGGAACCACGGAACTTTAAACCAGTCAGTTTTCACATCTGTAAAATGGGGAGAAAGATCTTGCCAGAGGGTGTGAAGACATCATCAGCATTATGGTTTTTGATCCTCCTGAGGCGCCTGTCTTTGTCCTGTCCCCCCAGGTAGCCCCCAAGCCCAGTGAGTTGGGAGAATGGCAGGAGGAGGTCCCCAGGCAAGATTCTGCCCCTTCCCCCCAATACACAGTCAGGGAGACCCTCCATGCAGGCAAAAACCTGGTGGACTGTGTCCTCTCCCCAGTCCCACGTCATCCTGGCTGTGCCTGCCCCTGCTTACGGCCTCTGATGCCTCCCCCAGCTTTCCAGAGAGAAGCCACACTCCCTGGCAAGGTGCACACAGCCGGGGCTGGCCTTGTCCGGCTTTTCCACCTCTCCAGCGTCCACTTCCGCCTCACCCTGTGGCACCGCTTTCCTCTACTTCCCCTGAGTTCAATGCGCAGCATTCCGGCGCTAGGCCTGGTGTCCTTGCCCTCCATTTCCACTGGGCTAACTTCTCTTTATTCTTCAAAATGCAACCCCAACCATGCCACTTCCAGGAAGCCTTCCCTGATATTCCCCAGGTTGGACAAAATGTCTCCCCCTGGGCTCTTTGTTCTCTGGGTGGCAGCTGTTGCAGTAGGCACCGTGTCTCCCGTGGTACCCAATGTACCTGCGGCACCCGGCCCAGGGCCTGGCCTAAGTGAGTAGCTGGAAAGCACTCAGGGAACAAAACAGTGAAGGGCACGGAGCTCCTTTCAACTGTTCTCAGAGAACACCTGCTCTGTAAGTGCTCTGGGCCAGAAAGTCACCCATAACCCCCCTGCTGGGGTGCCAGTTCCACAGCCCAGCCCAGGCGATGGGGTCCCGGGGGGGTTTGGGGTGGGCAGGCATCTTGTCCCCGGATGGTAGCACTAGCCCCCCAGCAAGTCCAGCAGAGCCCCTGAGGCTGCTCCCTTGTCTCAAGGAGCTCTGGTCTGAGCCCTTCTGAGCGGCCCCCACAAGGCGACTCAGCCCGTGACCCCCGCCCGCCGACCACGCTGGATGGGGAGGCATCAGGGCGACGGAGTGTCCCCTGCTGCTAGAGACCCCTCCCACTGGCTTCTCCTCTGACCCTTCTAGAAAGAGTCACTCTGCAAACATTCTGTAAAGCCCTAGAGCCGAGAAAAGAATGTTTCCCTGGTGATCTAGTTTGCTCCCTCCCAGCAAGCCGACGAGCTCATTTCCTGCTTTACCCTGGCTGCCAGGATGCCCAGAGCACACCCTCGGTGCCATGGTTCCCTGCCCGGCCCTGGCGCCTCTGATCCAGCTCTCTCCCCTGCTTGCCTCTTCTCTTTGATCTCATCCTCCTGGTTTTTGTTTTGTTCTCTTGATGCTTTTTATTTGTAAGCCAAAGACGTGTGTCATTTTTAAAGAAGTAGGTAGAGTAATTGTAAATGGTTTCTTAGGTATGCTTTGCCTACGCAGGGATTGGGTGCCCTCTCTGGGGTGCTTAACCCTGGAGCGTGGATGGCAGAGCACAGCCCTGGCAGCCCAGGATCCGGGAGCTCCCCCATGGGACTGGAGGCTCCTGGGGACAGACCCTGGCTCCCTTCCTGGGGCCGGAGCCTCACCTCTGTATCCTCTCTGCCTGGACTAGCCTCTCGACAAGGCAGTGAGCAGACAGGCCTGACCCTGAGCACAGGTGTGGAAATCAGACTGTGTCATGTAAACCCCATCACCAAGGGGTCCCAGAGCTTGCTGAGGACCTCGGGGAGTTGGCCTGTAAAGAACTTCTGCCCAGTTTGTGCCTACCTGGGGACATTTGTTTCTAACAAGAACTTCTACCCAGTTCATGGGTCTTTTTTTTAGTTGAAACTGGTTTCCACGGACTGAGTGACCATAAAGCAGACTAAACCTTTGCTCCCAGAGTATATTCTCCTGTCCTAGACCCCCAGCTGCAAGCTAGAGCAACGTTTTATTTTATTTTATTTTATTATTTTTTTTCTCTTATTTATACTTATTTAAATTCAACTAGCCAACATATGGTACCCGTTAGTTTTTGATGTCGTGTTCAATGATTCATTAGTTGGGTATAACACCCAATGTGGAGCAACATTTTAAATAGGTGGTTTAATCTCTCCAAATCATAGTTTCTCTGCTTATAAAATGAAGAGACTGGACTGAAATTCCGCCATGGGGCTTACTGGCCACAGGCCTTTGAAGGGCTCATGGTAGAAGATTCTAAGATTCTGGGGCGCCTGGGTGGCTCAGTCGTTAAGCGTCTGCCTTCGGCTTAGGTCATGATCCCAGGGTCCTGGGATCGAGCCCCGCATCGGGCTCCCTGCTCCGCGGGAAGCCTGCTTTTCCCTCTCCCACTCCCCCTGCTTGTGTTCCCTCTCTCGCTGTGTCTCTCTCTGTCAAATAAATAAATAAAATTAAAAAAAAAAAAAAAAAAGTCGATCCCAGGACCCTGGGATCATGACCTGAGCCGAAGGCAGACACTTAACGACTGAGCCACCCAGGTGCCCCAAGAAAAGAAGATTCTAAGATTCTAATTCTAATGTGGGATTTAGCCAGATGCAAGCAGAGATGCCCATTGCCTGGGCTTACAGCACCTGTTTTTATTGTAATGAGTCAAAATATCCTCCCCATCGCAGCCCAGGCCCCACAGGCGGCCCTCCGGTCACACGGTGGCAGTCCTCCACACACCTTTGTGCAGCATGAGGGGGGGGCTTCACCCCTCCCTCATAACTACAGCTCCACGGACCAGCAGGAAATCTCTGTTCCTGGAGACCCCTCTTGGTAATCCAGCTTGAGCAACCTGGGATAGAAAGACGGACAGACAGAAAAATAGGTGGTCCGCAAATCTCAGGTGTGGTGGGAAGAGACAGAGACGGCTGGGGTTAGGAATGGGGAGGGTAGAGAGTCTCGGGGCCCTGAGAACTTCCTCCAGCACAGGCGGACAAGGCCCCGTCACCCAAGTGGACCCAGCTATGTGTGGTCCTCAGGGTCCGGGGCTCTGAGACTTCAGGAGGAGTTTCCTCCTTGTGATCTCTGGGCTGGGGTGGTTTCTGTGGGTCTGAGCTGACTGTCCTTTGTGGGGTCACTAAGACCTGGGTCACACATATCTAAAGCATCAGCCTTTGCCCTGACCGTCTCTATTTGCCAGGCAAGGACAGAGGGGTAGGGGCCCAGCTCCCAGCCTCCCAGCCCCTGCCCTTGGCCGGGCTCAGTGGCCTGCTTGCACAGAGTCACCTGGTGGCAGAGTACTCAAGGCCCTGAACCCTCAGCAGTCGCTTGCTGTCATCTGCCGCTGCCGGAGGCCCCCAGAGCACGTCCTGGTAAAACTGGCCTGGGACACAAAGGGTGGGTCAGCCAGGCATAAAGACAGAGAGGGAGGCTGCGAGACACACAGAGGGAAAGGCCACTGCCTGTTCACTGCAGCGGTGGCTTGTGAGGACGCCTACCGAGGGTCCCGCCAACGCGGCTGGAGAAGCGGTGGGTGTCCCGCAGAAGGAGCCGGAGCCCCTCCCCGGGGCCGTCCCAGGGTAGCAGGCCGATGGTCACTCTGTCCGGGCTGCTGAACAGCAGGAGCCCCGCCTTGTCCATGGTCAGCTTGACGCTGCGGGGAGAGCCAGGGTCCTGAGCCGTCGGGCTGGGAGCCGGCGGGGCTGCCCTCTTGTCCCCGGGAATTCCTACTGTGAAGGGACTCGGGTGCTGAGTCCCTTCAGTCCCTTCTGGGCTTCCGTCTCCTCATGGTGAACTGGGACCGACGGTAACTTAGATATAGCCGCTGCTTTCTTTATCAAATAAAACAATGGCCCTTTCACTCCCTGGTTCTCTTAGATTTGGCTTCTCGTGAATTAGTTGGATACGATTTCGGCCGGTCTTGGTACATTTCCTCTGTCCCTTTTGTTGTTAAGGCCAGTGCCGCTTCCTTCTGAGGATTAGTGTTATTTAGGTCTAGAAGAGCAAGTCCCTTTCCCTTCTACCCTGTCCTTTTTTTTTACTTAAGATAATCTTTGAAATTCTTACCTTTTTTGTTTTCTTAGGAATGTGAGGCTCTTTTAAGCATGTTGAATAGAACCCTGCTGTTACTCTGAGGTTATTTAAATGGAATTGCCCTAAACTGACGCTGTCTTCCAGTCATCAAACAAGACATAGTCTGTTTTCCTTTATGTGTATCTGCTGTAGCTCATGAAAGTATTTGGACTTTTTCTTACTGCAGGCGATAGGAATTCTTTATTCCACCCTCTAGCGTGCAAGTCCGAGGCATAGAAATCCTGTCATTCTCTGTGCATTTATCAGATAATCGGAAACTTCAAGCTCTCTTACGAAATCGGGCGGTTTTCAGGTGAAGCCCTTGGATTGTCTAGGCATGCGCTCATTTGTCAAGTGGAACCCAGTCTCTGCTGTGGGGCAGGGAGAGGGCAGAGGGCAAGGCTCTCTGTACCTGGTACAGGCAGGGGGTTGCAGGGCATAGCTCAAAGAGGGTCAGGGTCCTCGGCCCCATTCCCAGGCCCCCGTGACCTCCAGAGCTGGAGAGCTGCCTCTGGAAGGCTCTGTGGTGGGGCAGCCTCACCCAGAAGAGGATGCCGTCCACTTGCATTACCCACCAGCTGCCCAGTGTTTGATGCCGGGTGGACTCGTCGACCCCCGTCAGAGCTCCGGGAGCATGCTAAGGATGACATTCCTAACCTGCCCCGGGAGCCAGTGCTCTCCAGCTCATTGCTGTCATTACTGACCGTGCTGCCCCCCACGGCACCCCGTGGGCACAGCATTGTCTAATGGGCAAAGTGCTCCTGGACCACATCCTCTTACTGGATCTTCCGCCCCACCCTCTGAGACTCAGGGCCGGGGAATTATCTCTGGTGATGAGTGAGGAAACAGGCTCAGAGAGGGTGAGCAGCCTGCCCAGGGTCACACAGGATTAGCAGCAGAGCTAGTTCCAAACCACACCGTGCCCCACTTGGGGCAGTGACCCGGGTTAGGTATGAGGGCAGCCAGCTCCAGCCTAACTGCTCGGTGCCCTCCAGAGCAGGGGGTGGTGGTGCAGGGCTCTCTGTGTCTCTGCTCCTCCTGCGGGCGCAGCCCACTGCAGAAGACTCATGCCCAGCCACCCCGTCCTCAGGCCCGTGGGCTCAGGTCACCTGTCAGCACTGTCCCCAGCTAACTGATGGGGCCAGAGAGGTACCCAGACTAGGGGGGGACCCAACGGGACCCAGGCAGGGGCATACCCGGGTATCACCGAGAACAGCGTCTCCTTCCACTTGTAGGCAAAGTTTCTTCGGTTCCGGGTCACTACCACGTGCTCAGGGATGGCACGGACCTGCAGCTGGGGGTTCTTGAAGGTCACCTCGATCCACGAGAACCGGGCCTTCTCTGTCTCGTACTGGGCGGTCACCTCAACCCCTGAGAGGGTCAGGGGCAGAGAGGTCAAGACCGTGGCCCCAGCTGGGCGCTGGCCTGAGCGGGAGGTCCACCCAGACCCCTTCTCACCAGCTGACCTCCCCGCTCCCTTTCCCAAACACTCCCTCACACTGGGGGCTGTTTCCCACGGTCTCTCCCCTCATCCCCTGGTTTCAGATGGCTGTGGAAGGACCCCCGAATCCTCAGTGATGGCCACCTTCAGACGAGCCCCATGAGAAGGGAGTCGTGTCAGAAATCGACAAACGTTCATAAAGCCCGTGTGGTGTGCCTGGCCCAATGAGGTGCCATGGCCAAGGGCAAGATGGAAGAGGGGTGGTGCCCCCCCTCCTCTGTGAGCAAACAGACCACAGGCCTGGCGGGATGAGTGGCAGACTGTGTGGACCTGGGAGGAATGAGGGAGCCGTGCATTCTCATTGACTCTGGCCGGCTCTGCAGACGAGCGTGAGCGTCCCCGAGTGCTGTGCCTCCTTGCATCTGACCCGACACTCAGTTCAACCAGTAAGACCGTTCTGGGGGCTGGGGGTGCAGGCCTGGCCAGCACACACCTACCTCCTCCCACCATTCACCGCCTCCACACCCTCCACAGTCCCACCAGCACCTTCCAGCGCTCTGCTTCTGCCTGCCCCTTCCTCTGTCCAGTGGACCCCTCCTGGTCTGCCAAGGCCCAGTCACTCCTATATGACCCTGTGCAGCATCCCTGCTCCCCGGACAGCTCTTGTCTCCTCCTCTGGGTTTGCTTCCATGTCACTCTGGGCACTGACTATAGGCCACTGAGCTTATCTGTGCCCAAGTCTGTCTCCCCACCGCCGAAGTATGGCAGTGCCTGGGGCAAGTCCACATCTGGTCACCCTGGAGTGCCCAGGCCACCCCGACCTGTGTATGTGGCGCTCAGGGACATGGCCATGCCATGATCTGGGACGGGCCTGCATGGGGCAAGGTGTGTCTCCATGGGCAGGTGTCCCATCATTGTCTCTGGGGTAGTAAGTCGGGAGTCAGCGGTGTCTGGGTCTCTCTGGGTGGATGACTGGATGTGCACCTCTCACCCTGGTCAGGGTCTGAGAGCAGGTTCATCGGCCCCTGAGAGTGCTTGATGTCCACACAGAGGCGGTCCACGCTCTGTCTGGGCAGCATCAGGATGACGGCAGGCGCCTGGATGGCGGCTGGGACAGCAGCTGTGGTTCCTAGGGTAGGTAGAGCAGGCTGGGAGACAAGGACAAGGAGGGGACCAGGCCTGAGGGAGGCTGGCAACTGACCCGGGGGTGAGGCTGTCTTGGCTGATTCTGAAAGAAGAAAAAGTCTGGGTTTAGGAGCCCCTTCCCAAGGAGCGGGATGGGGGGAGCTGAGAGACAGAGACATGGATGTGTGGTTAGGGCTCCCTCTCAACCTCAACACTGGGAAACCCACGTGACAAGTCTGTAGAGCTCCCCGAGGCTTTCCTCTCCCAGATTCTCCTTGTTACAGGGTCAGAAGCTACTGCAGGGACTCTGGCCTGGGGGGCATCTTCGGCTCTTAAATCCACGCCAAGAAACACTTCGTCAAGAATAGAGGGGGCTTATGGCCGCCGAAGCAGGTATTGGTGCAGGGCCAGAAACAGAAAGGAAGAGGGCAGTCAGGACTGAGAGCAATCAGCACGCCCTCCAGCTGTCATCGGTGCCACCCGCCCTCCACCCAGCCCCGCAACCCCGGCCACACCTACACCCAACTTAGGAGAGCCTTTGTAATGAGATTTTCAAACAGGAGAGTGTGCCATTAGGGAAAATGGAGAAGACACAGGGTCTAGCCTGGCTCTGCGCTGTTTCTGAGTCCAGACCTGGAGATCAGAAACAGCTCAAGGGTCCACTGCTGGCTTTGGAAATGGAGGAAGACATCCCTTTCTAGAAGGTTCCATCCTGAGCCAGCCTCCAGAGTGTAATCAATCCAATTCAGTGAAAATAAAGTACACATTATGTCATGTCATGCCCCACCGCAACTCTCCCTGGTTTGTGCCCAGCCCTGTGCTTTGTGCTTTACCTCGCTAACTCTAGGGCCATGTTTAATGATCATCTTGAGAAAATTAGGCCCTCAGAGGGTCAGAAAGTGGCTTACCTAACAACATGTCCGGTAGCAGTGATTTTCCAGCCATAAGTGGGTAAGGATGAGGAGGACTAAGAGGTCCCTGTGGTCTGGCTCTCCCTAGGTCACTAGGTGTCTTCCTGGAAGGTCCAGCTTTGGAAAAGTTGACACACGCAGCCTTCTCTCAAGCAGTGTCATGGCTCCCCATGGCCGGGGCCCTGGGACCCAGGTCAGGAGAGGGATGTGGAGAGGGCAGATGGCTCCCCTCCCTACACTCATCACTCTGGGAGCCTGTCCCTCCATGGCCAGGAGAAGTTCAGCGTGGGAGCGATGGACCCTTCTTGAGCCCCCCACCAGCTGTCCCTGGAATATGAGCCCCCGCCCCCGCCCCTGACTCAGACTACCTTGTCCTCTACAGCCTCCTCTTTCAGTGAGGACAGAGTCTGTATAGATGCCTCCTAATCAGATATAACTGGACCTGAGTCCCAGCCCTGCTAACCAGCCAGGTGAGCCGGGCAAGTCACTCCCGCAACAACCAGGGCAGAGCCTAGTCTGTGTCTGGGGTTAAGGTCCTGTCACTCTCCCCCACCCCTCCCCTTCCCTCCTTTGCCACCTGTTATTCTGGACCTTCTGTCTCCAGCGGTACGAAATCTAGAGAGTGGACCACCTGGAAATCAGAGGGACCTGGGTTTGCTTCTGGGATATACTTCTTTGGGGTCCCCAGCTGACCAGGGATTGTGTCCCTAAGTGCCCAGGACAGGGTCTGAGTAGCAGCAACCTCGTGGGGCTGGGGCCTTAGGCCCTGTGTCAGCCAACTGTCCCCCGGCCCAGCCTTTGAAGGAATTAAGCCCTTACCTAAGTAGAAGTTCTTGTGTTTGTTTTCTGGATAAAACAAAAAGAGAGAAAAGGAAATACACTGTTAGAGTGGTTTCGACAAGTTCAAAGTGCTTCTGTTTAAACTTGCTTCCCAACCCCAGCACTGAATAGGAGACCTGGCCTCTCAGCTTCCTCATCAATGGGATGGGATGAGTGTCCGGGGGATCCTGGGAAATTAGGGATGGCCGGGTCGGGGACTTGGTGGGGACACGGGAAAGGCTCTGGAGGACGCTAGGTCAAAACTGTGCTGCCGAGGAGGCTGGGGTCCTACTCTCACACCTACTGGTTTCCACAGGCTTCTCAGCAACTTCAGACCATTCTTTGCCTTCAGGTTTGGTGACCACCATGGATGTGAGGGGAGTGACAAAGCTATAGTGGAGCGACAAGCTCAGAGCTCGGGTCTCGAGGGCCTGTTTCTCAGCATCGGATGCCGAAATCCTGCAGGTGGGGGATATCAGAGGCTCAGCAGGTCCTCCCCAGATGCTTAGTCAGATTCTCCCTCCCTTCCAGACCCTTCTGGGAGGTTCCCACTGGGAGAGTCTGGAGCTCACCCACGATGCCACCAGTCTCTCTATGCCCGGGAGATACCCCGGGCCAGCTGCACCTGCCCCCTGCACCGGGGAAAGCTTGGGAAGGTGCTTGGGCTGTGTGTGGCTGTCCCAGTAGGCCCTCGAGGGTGTGGGCCACTCACATTTGCTCCAGCAGTTGCTGGATGGTCAAGTATGCCCAGAGTCTCTCCATGAAGCTGTGGAAGATGTACTTGGGGTTCTGGAACTCGTTCTCCTGCTCCGCCACACTGGACTCCGTTTGGAAGGTGATGTTCTGCATGTGCTGGAAAGAGGGGCCCAGCCCGGGCAGGGGCAGTGAGGGCCCCTCCAAGGCCAGCATGGCAGGCACAGAGCCGGAACTCAGGTCAGACCGACCCTTCCAGAGAAAGGGAAATGAGAATGGGATCCGAACCCCCGGCCAGGGTAGAAACAGCAGGAGGCAGGAAGGGCAAGTGCAATGTGGGGGCAGAAAGGGGCCCCAGGGACATTCCACACTCACCCCAAATATGGAGACTCTGGGGACAAAGAGGGAAGAGCCTTCTCCTGAAGTCAGTGGCAGAGTTGAGAAGAGAACTCAGGTGTCATGGCCCTGATAGGGCTTGGGGCCCCATCCGCCCCAACCAGCAGTCCCCTGCCCAAGCTGGTGCCCTCTGCTGGGGCTGGGTGTGGCAGGATGGTGGCAGTAAGGCGGATGCCAAGCTCTGGGTGGACTGCGGCTTCCTTCCCCAGGGCGGGGCCTTCTGGTCTCAGGCTGCCTTGCCCGCAGTCTGGGAAGTGGGGTCTGGGGACAGAGGAACCCTGCCCTCTCTCACCCCTGCTCCACACAGCAGCCGAAGACCTTATCGTGGATCAGATCCCACTACCCCTGCTGGAACCACTCCTCTGTCTCTCGCCCGCAGCCTGGTTTCCCAAAACTGCCCCATGCAGGCCACCTGCGTGAATTTTGCCCTGTCCACACACACAGCGATTTGTTTGGTGGTTTTCCTTAAAGGAACTTTAAATAGATGAATACTATTTATTTAGCCTTGTCCCAAGCAATCATATCTGCGAAAGTCTTGGGTCTGGTGTTCAAGTTCTATTTTCCGGGAGACGCATTAAAATAAATACACAACTACTGAAACAAAGACATGTTTGTGAACTACCTGGAGCCATCCCGAGTTCTGCAGTTTGGGAACCTCTGGCCTTCAGGTTACTATTAGCAGCTAACGCGAATGGAGTGGTTATGCTGGGGCCAGACATTAATCCCCACAGCAGCCTTATAAGATGGGTAGGGTGACCTATTCTGATTTTTACACAGGAGGAAACTGAGGCACAGGAAGGTTACGTGATCTGCCTCAGGCCTCACCTCTGCGAGGTGGCAGAGTGGGTTTGAACCCAGGTTTGAACCCAGCCTGCAGCTCCCTGGTTGTGTGAGGATTTACCCGCACTGTCTCTCCCGAGAGGACAGTATCCCCAGGGCTAGAGAAGGACCTAGAGCAGAGCAGGTGCTGTTTCTCTCCGTGGAACGAGAGGGCCTCTCGAGGCACAGAGGCAGAGACGGGCACCACGAGGGGAGCCGGGCTCTTGACCTGGCTGCTTTGGGGCCCGAGGCAAGTTGCCTGCTCTGCCTGGACCTCAGCCTGCTCATCTGCGAAATGGGAGCAGTCCCCCCTGGCCGACCGCAGCCTCCGAGGGCCGGTGTGAGGCCAGGAGGGCATGCCAAGCACCTGGTGCTCTGAGGACCAGCAGCAGCACCGACGGACTGCTACGTGTCATCTCTAAGTGGCAGAGGGCACCGTGTGACTTGTGCAAGGTCAGTCGCTGGAGCCCTGCCGGGCTGGCGTTTGAACCCGGCCCCTCTGACTGCCTGCCCCAGCTGCCCCTCCCCTGCAGAGGGGCTGGCCACACTCACCAGCTGCCCCCTGACTTTGGCTGAGAGCACATCGGGGCTCTGGTCCCGGAGCTTCCCGGCCACGACGATCTCGGAGCCTTTGAAGAGCAGCCGGAAGTTGTCCCGTGAGACCTCCTCCACCGCGTTGCTGGGGTACTCAAAGGTCACCGCTGTCAGCAGTGGGTTGGCCACTTCCTGGTAGAAGTCCTGCAAGGTGGGGGGTGTCACGAGTGCGGGGCCGGGCTCCGCCCGCCTCACCCAGGCGGCCCCCCCGGGGCCCTCTGGCACCTGCAGCTGCAGGGTGGAGTCCGAGTCCTCATAGATGCGCCGAGTCAGGCCGCCGTTATCTAGCGCCAGCTTCTCTAGGAAGGCAAGGCTGACGTCGAAGCCAAAGCCCAGGCAGAAGAGGCTGTACTGGCCATCTATAGCTTCCTTCACGTTCTTCTGGATCCTTGCAGGGTTGGTCTCCCCTGGACGCAGCAGTGTGGGAAGGGGGAGTGAAGAAACAGTGATTTGTTCAAAGATACTTCTGGAATCTCAGAGCCAGAGGGGCCTCAGATACGCCCCCCACCCCAGCCTCGGGTCCCACGGGAAGCCAGGGAGAACCCCAGCTGCCCCCCCAAGGGGCAGCGTGTCCCGGAGTGGCTGGCGGTGCCCTCACCCACGGTGGGGTCGCCGTCGGTGAGCAGGATGATGAGGGAGACGCTCCCCTCTGGCAGCAGCTCCTTCTGGTTGGCGCTGTCCAGCAGCTGCACGGCCAGCAGCATCGCGTCGTTGATGTTGGTCCCTGGGGGGCACGCACTCTCAGGGTCGTAGCTTCCAGCCCGGCTGCCCAGGCTGGGCTCGCTGCACCAGAAGCCGCCACGCTGCAGGGCCCCAGAGGCGCTCACCTCCTTGGGTCTGGATGCTGGCAGCATAGCTCCTGGCCTGGTTCACGTTCTCGGCCGAGGCCGGCACCAGCAAGGGCTTCCACTGGGCCGCCTCCCCGCTGAAGCTGACAAGATTGAACTGGTCGTGGGGGCTGAGGTCATCCAGGATCTTGATTAAGGCTTCCTGGGTCTGGGCAGGAGGGTGGGAGACTCAGGAGGGTGTCTGAACGGGCCTCCCTGGGGCTCATGTGTACTTGGGCTGGCATCCGAGGGCTCCCACGGTCAATGCTCTTGGGGCAGGTGATGTCCACACTCTGGCCGATCTCAACCCCTGGGTGCCCCCTACCCAGGAAGATGGAGGAGGGAGAATGCCTCCTGGACCAGACCCAATGGCATGAGGCCTGTGTGAGTTTCCAGGGCTGTGCCCTTAGCCAGAGGGACCCACCTGCTCTATCTTCCTGCCTCTCATGGAGCCGCTTTTGTCAATGACAAAGATCACATTCTTGGGTATGGTGGGCAGGCCTTCGGGGGCAAAGTGGTGCACAAAGTAGCCACTCTCGATCTGTGATCAGAGTGAAACAAACCCAGGTAATAAGAGCTGCAGCCCTGCCCTGCCCCCGACCAGTCTTCTCACCCTAATCCTTGGGTTCCTCTCTTCACACAGCCCCCTCAGTCTCTGTCCCACTGCTGACCTCCCAAATCTTCACCATCTTCCACGGCTCAGTCCAGCCCCTCTCTTGCCTTCCCTGCTCACACATGGTCCACTAGAACTCTACCCCCACTTTATCTCCTATTTGTTTTAGTATTTGAGGCAACTTATCACAAAAAGTTTATTAGACATTCTAAGCCTAAAATCCATTAAAAGACTAAAGACTTTAAAAACAAGGTCCATCAAAGGTGAAAAGGGAAAGCACAATGATGCCAGAAACTTGTGTGAAAGAAGCTACTGCCACTGAGCATAAAACTGAACTGTGAGCCTCCTGGCAGCCAAGGCAATAAGGGAAATCCTGCAGGGCATCTCTTTAGCAGAGGTGAAACTTCCATGCCTCCAAGAGAAAATTGTTTCAGGGACAACATAACAAAATTACTTGTTTTTGGCCTGTGCTGCCACTGGTTCACCCTGATAAGTAGGGGCAGTTATTTTGCATTTCATTCTAGAACATACAAGCTCAGGCCCTTTTCTGGTTGCCCTACTCTTGCCTTAGAGCCCACACACCTGAATGGAGCCCCCGGAGACGGTCCGGTGCACATCGTAGCGGACGATGAAGTTGCCATCCAGGACTGTGTCCTGTTGCCCTGGTGACATTTGCTGGGAGAGCGTGGGCTTGAATTGGATGTGAGCCTGGGGAAGGATGGGCTGGAGTTGGGAGGAGCCCCATGGTCACCCCGACCCCCTCTGAAGCAAGAATTCCAGGATGCGGCCTTGGGCCACAGTCCAGGGAACGTTCTCTGAGGCCAAGCTGTTGGAGAGACTGCCTCCATACAGGGGAGTGGGAGCTGTGTGAGCAGAGGCTGGGCTCAGTTTGCACAGGATCCTGCTGGTGACCCCTCCCCGCCGTGGGTCCCTCACTCGGGCTCCTCCCCATGGCCTTCTCCCCATCTCAGGCTCCACACCAGCACCCAGCAGCCTTCTCTAGGCCCTCCTCCACCTCGGCCAAGTGGTAGCATGGACACAGACCTCCGAAGTCCCTCCAGCTCAGAGTCTGCCCATTTGTCCCGCTCTCTGGACAGACTCATATGGCTGGCCTGACAACAGGCCCCTGGGGACCCTTGCCCGCCGACCGAGGCAGGCCCACCTTGGTCTTGTTCTGCGAGACAGTGAGGGCGTCTGCCAGTTCGTTGGTCATGAAGGTGCTCTCTGTCTCCAGAAAGCTGATGCCCTGAGGCTCGAAGATGTGAATGTCCATCTGGAGGCAAGCAGTGGGTCACTGGGTCAGCCAGAGTTGGGGCTGGGCCTCACAGGAGGCAGAGGGGGAAGGAGGGGCTGCCCTCAGTGCAGCAGGTGTCTTCCTGGAGCAAACCCCCCTCCCCCGGACCAGGGAGCGGGCAGTGCCGGTACCTGAAGGTGCTTGACCAGCTGCTGGGGCTGGACTTTCAGCAGCAGCTCATATGCTCCCAGATACCGCTTGAGCAACTCCTCATACACCAGCTCGAAGGTGACCTTGGCAGCGGGAGCCACACTGACCGACACCTGGAACTGTTCCGTCTTTCTTCCGCTGGCCCTGGGGGAGGAGAGCAGCAGGTCTGCCCCTCCAGGCCAGGCAGGGTATGGCCACCTGAGGCTGGAGGGGGTCTGCAGGGCTGAAGGCAGGGGCAGCCTCTTCCCCCCCCCCCCCCCCCCCCCCCCCCCCCGCCGCCGGGGTCCCTCCCACCACCCGCTTTGGCTCACTTGACGAGGCCAGCGCTCTCGCCCCTGGCCACAGCCGCGCTGTACTGTTCCTGGGCTGCAGCCTTCTCCTTGATGTTCCCTGGGTAGGTCACACCTCCGATGACCCTGGGGCAGGGTGGCAGGCGTTGTGGAGGGCTTGATAGGAGCTGCTCACTCCAATCCCACCCCCTCCAGGGAGGCTCCCTGGACCTGGTGTGCCTCTTAACAGATCGACTCCTGTCTTTGCCTGAGCCCACCCATTTCTTTCTTTCTTTCTTCTTATTATTTTTTAAAGATTTTATTTATTCAATCGTCAGAGAGAGAACGAGAGCACAAGCAGGGGGAACGACAGGCAGAGGGAGAAGCGGGCTCCTCGCTAAGCAGGGAGCCCGATGCAGGGTTCGATCCCAGGACCCCGGGATCATGACCTGAGCTGAAGGCAGACGCTTAACCGACTGAGCCACCCAGGCGCCCAGCCTACTCACTTATTATGTACTTACTGTATACAAGACTCTGTGCAGGGCCCCGGATGAGGGTGGTGGGCCTCTGCGAGCCATGCTAGGCTTCTGTCTACCCTGCAGCACGCACAGTGTTGGTAAACATACATTTACTGAACAGCCCAGGGAGGCAGGTTGCAGGGGAGGCAGGGCTGAGGTAGAGCCTGGCCTCCACCCTTGCAGCCTGGCCCCACATTCCGGCTTGGCCGGTCTACCTCACAGCCTGCCCCCCGCGGAACTGGTCAGTCACCAGCGGGCGCTTCCCGGGGCGCACTTTTGCCCAGCTTGTATGCAGCTGTGCGGGCAGCCAGAGGAGGAGCGGGGTGCCGGGCTCCCAGGCCAGTGGGAAACGCGGGTCTGAGAGGCTCTGACCCCTCTCCCTGCAGCTGGCCCCTCTTCCCGCCGGCACACGGCAGGGCTGTCTGCACAGAGGCGGGCCTCTGCGGAAGTAGGTTTGGGACAACTGCTGCACGGGGCCCCCAGGACTGTGCACACAATCCTAACAGCTATTCTTTGGGACTAGAAGGAACTGCTGGGGCTTTTCCTCTGGAAGAAGAACTGCTCCAGAGCCTCCTTGTGAGGTGAGCAGGGACGTGTCAGCGAACCTACGCCTGGTCCACCTGGGTGGGCTGAAAGGGTGACAGTGGGCAGGGGTGGGCAGGGTGGGTGTAGCTAGGGCATTAGGACCCAGTTTCCTACCTCCCCACCTTCCTGACCTTCTTGGTCACAATTTAACTCTGGGCGAGGGATGCTGCTGCTGAGTGGGCCACAGGGCTCGTCCTCCCAGATGCCCCAGCTGGGACTCCCCGCCAGGCCAGAGAGCAGGGCACCCTGCCCCCTGCTTCCCCATCTCCTGCAGCAACACCATCTGGACCCAGAGAGGGGTGCAGGCCCTGGGCTCTCAGCACATGCCATGCGTCTGGAAGCTGGCTGCCTGCTGGTCTTGGCCCCCCGTCGGAGGCTGGGGGTACCCTGCAGCACTCAGACTGCAAGTCGGGCAGCACAGGCCTGGCTCCAGGATTAGGAGAAGCAGGGGGCTGCTGACGGGGGTGGCACAGGGAGCGAGGAAGAAGCTGACCGCAGGGACCCAGGCCCCACCGCAGTTATTTCAGAGGTCTCAGGGTAGTTTGGGGACCCCGGCCGAGAGAAGCTTGCTCTGGGCCCCATCCATCACCCTCCCTCAATTGCTGGGATCAGCGTCTCTCTGGCCTGCCCTCAATCACTACCTCTCTCGTGGGGCCAGGGGCAGACGGGGAGGGTTCTCAGGCATTTAGCAAACATTGCAAAAGAGTCGGGAAGGGTGGGGGATGACAGTAGAGGACAAGGTGAGGAGCAGCCCTGAGCCACAGAAATCCCAGGGGCCTCCCCATGTGGCCTTGGGCCCAGAGCAGAAAGGCCCTCTGCTGTGTCCCAGGTGGGAGGGAGGGGACGAGCTGGCTTAGAACTTCCTGTGACAAAGAGATCGCCCTCCTCGAGGCATTGCTCCATTGTGGGGCAGCCCAGGAGTTAGGAAGTCATCTGTATTCTGAGCTGGACTCTGCCTTTTGTGACTCCCTCCTGCCTGGGCCTGGCCTCAGAATGCCCCAACTCTACTCTTCAGAGGCAAAGACACCAAGATGCTGTGGTTCTCCATCTGTCAACTGGGCAGGTTGGTGGATGGTGGCTGGCGGGAGGGATAAATGGAAGGGTGGGTGGAGGGATGGATAGAGGGAGGGAGGAATGGAGAGATGGAGGTAAGGATGAAGGGAGGGAGGAAGGGAGGGAGGGACGGATGGCAGGAGGGCTGGATGGGTGGAGGATGGAGGGATGGAACATCTCTGACAATGCATGAAGTTCATGGGTAAAGCCTCTGGTCCCTTGTATTGCCTGCAGGCAGAGCACACACGCCTAAGGCATCCATCCTGGCTCACCTCACATCAGGAAGAGGGTCGCTCTTCCCGACAGGGTGTCGCCAGGGAAGATGGTGTCATGGTGCTGGGTTGCAGGAGGGCGACAGGGAAGAGGGCAGGAAGGCACCTACATGGAGAAGTTGGTGATGAAGGCTCTCTTGGGCAGCTCCACCTGGAAGGTGGCCTCCTGCATAACACTGGCCCTGTTGACCACCCTGCTGGTGACGACGGTGTGGGCAAATCTGGACGAGACCTTGGAGTCCACGCTGAGGCTGTAGATGTTGATGCCATTCTGGACCAGTGAAGGGGGAGGGGTGGGACTGTTTGAATGCCACCCCAGCTTGAGACAGCACTCTTTAAGAGGGGGCCCTGCCCTTGGTCCCCGACACCACTGAACCACCAAGCCCCCGGCCAAACCCCACGAGGCATTTCACATGTGAACACTGGTCTCACAGCAGAGGGAGCTGAGTGCTTCGTCCCCCACCCTTCAGTGTGTCTGGGAGGTGACTGTCACTTTCTCCTCGGGCCGGGGGCCTTAGAGGGGTCAGGCAGCTTCACATTTGATCTTAGCTCTGCCCGGTGAAAGGGTAGTGAACAAGTTCTGCGATTTCTGGTGCCCTCGGCCGCCATGGAAACTGGGAAAACAGCTCTTGCCTGTCTCCCACCAGGTGCTTACAGGAGCTGGGAGAACGTGGAGGAGACGGGGGGGCCCAGTCTCTAATTACTGGGAGCCTTCCTCTTTGCCCCCCTTGACCCTGCGGCCCTGGACCCTCCCCAGGTACACGCTCTTCTCCTCCAGGTCTGCGGTTCCCCAGGAAGGACGTGTGCATGCCTGCAGCCTTGCACACCTGCTCTCTGCACATGGCATGTTCAGGCGCGCGCGCGGCTTAGCACTGAGGCCGGGTGGCTTGTAGAGTGCTCGGTGGCAGACATTGGATGAAGTTCTTTCTAGATCTTTACAGGTTTGATCTTCATGACAAAGCTCTGAATAGCTTTTCTTTTTGCCGTTTTACAGATGAGGAAACGGACACCGAGAGCGTAAATAACTCCTGCGCGGCCACTCAGCCAGGGAGAGGGAGAGGCGGGCTCCTGGAGCCCATTCTCGCCCAGCCCACCCCCTGCCGGCGCCCTGCTCGCTGGGCCGCATCGCCTCCCCGTAAAGCAAAGCGGGAGCGGGGTCTCCCTGCTGCTAAATGGGAGCGCATCCAGAGAGCGCGCAGGCTAATGCCCGGCGTCTTCGCGCACGCGCTGCTCCACGCTCGCCCGGCTGCACGTGCTTGCACACACACAGGCTCTCCTTGTTCGTCGGCTCACGCCACCCCCGCTCGGGCACCCGCGGATGCCCGTTACCTTCTGGGCGGCCGCTGCGTGGAGGGCAGCCAGCAGCAAGAGCAGCACCCGCGCCAGGCCCCAGGGGCGGCCGGGGGCCGAAGGCTTCATCTGGGCTCCAGTGCCCGGCGGGTCGCTTCTGAACTTGGGAGGAGGTGGGGAATGAATTAGTAACATGCTCGCGGCCCCGCCCCTCTGGGGGCGGCTTCTGGGAAGTCGGGATCTCCAAGCCAAAAACTGCAGTAGCCTCAGCTAAGCAAACTGTGAATGTCCCGTGGACCTTGGCTGGGGCTAGGAACACGTAGTGAGGAGAAGCGGGCTCAGGTGGGAAGTGGGTCTGGCTCTCCCTTGGAAAAGTCCAGAATCATCCCAGGCCACTACCAACCCCTCACACCAGCCCTTCCACCAGCGGGCTCCCTAGGTCTGGGAGATGCAACAGTGAACCAGCCTGCTCTCCCTAAGCCCAGCCTGGGAGAAACAGGGATGGCCCAGACCAAGGGGGCTAGGGAGTGGCTTCCGGGAGGGGGCAGCGGGGACCCGAAAGGTACTGAGCAGCCATTGGGGTGTCTGACTGGGGCAAGGTCTGCTGGGGTCGGGGCAGGACGGAGACCCCCTGTTTCTGGGGTGAGAGACTGGGCCCAGGAGTCTTCTTCTCTGCGTTTGGGTCCCAGGCTGCTGTCGGGCCCCATTAATCTAGCTAGGGCTCTTGGTTCAACCCCAGCAGGGCCCCCAGAATGAGACCCGCACTTTGGCAATACCAACCGAGAGCCATAAAGATGCCCGCACCTCGAGGCCCAGAGGTCTCCCTCCAGGGCATTTATTGAGAGGAAGGCGTGGAACAGTGAGGTGGTGTGCCACGGTCCCGAGCCAGACCGGAGGGAGGGCACCGGAAGGCGTGGGCTAGGATTACCGGTAACTTTTCTCAGTTATCCTTTAATAAACTTGAAATGTCTTTGTAACAAACAGCAACGAAGTGAATAAATATTGAGGGATCTGGACGAAGCTGGTGCTTGTGTCCCTGGCGGTCCCAGCTCCTGGGTCTGGCCACGGGTAAGGTTCAGCAGTGTGGCCAGGTGCCAAACCCTGGGTCAAGGCTGGCTTGGTGACACTGGTGGGGGTGGGGGTGGGGGGTGTGGGGAGCAGCCACGTTGGGGGCCCACACAAGATTCTGAGGCAGTGACTGGCCGCCGGGGTCTCCTCCATCAAGGCCAGCAGCATCCAGCTCGGGGGAAAGGGCAGCAGAGACCCGGGTGCTGTGTCTGGCTGCGAGGAAGTGTCCCCCTTCCTTAGCACACCTGCAGCCAGAAGCATCTCTCTGCACGTCTACACTGCTTGCCCTTTCGCTCTGAATAAGGTTGGGATCATACGGGGCTTCACACCCCTGCGGCAATCTGAAAAGAGCCTCCCCAAGGAGCACAGAGGGCAGGCCCAGGCCCTGTCCCACCGGAGGTCTGCTCCTCGGGGCACAGAGCACAGGCCCAGCCTAGAAGCAGCTATATAAGGAGGCCGGGCTGGCTGAGGACGTGGGAAAGGCTCCGAGCAGCCAGCCCCACCTGCCCAGGGGGCCGGCCAGCTTCCCCGCAGACAGCAGCCCTGAGTCGGGTGCCGCAAGGCCCGGCCCTGCTGGTCCAGCCTGGGACTCTGCCTGTGGTTTTGCCGTCACAGGGGGATGGGCCTCTGCAGGCCCAGATCTGACAGCTCCATGCACACAGGGGACACTGAGGCCTCGTGAGCCAAGGGCCTGGAGTTCCCATGATGCAGGCAGAGCTGTGGGAGTGGCAAGGGGGAGGCTCACCCTGTGCGTGGGACAACAGCTCAGGAGGTAGCCTACCACTGGCCAGAGAGGGGCCTCGACCTGGCTCTGTCTTTGAGGGGTATGAGCTGGCAAGGAGGTAGTGCAGACAGGGGTGCAGGGGGGAAGGGGCTGGGAGGTCCCTGGTCTGGCAGAGCCTTGGAGTCCTTGGACGCCTCTCGATTGTTTCTGTGGAAGGCAGGCAGAGGGGTGAGCCTCGGGCCCCCACCTGCTTCACTCTGAGCAGTGTTCCTGTGGCCCTTGTCAGACAGGAGGGGAAATCGAGGCTCAGAAAGGGAGAGACTGGTTTGAAGTCATACAGGAGCTCAGCACCAGGTCTCCACGTCCAAGGCTCTTTCTAGCATGTGGCAGTAGCCATAATAGCACCTGCCTTACCCTCTGGGACCTCCCAAAAGCCCACGAAGGGTACGGAACATGCCCCACACCCTAACCCGCCTGCCCCTCCCCTACACTTAGTGGCCATGGCCGGTGACTAACTAACAGCCTCCAAATGCTGGGGCCACGTGGGCATGCTCTTTATTGGTGTTCCCTGGGTGCTGGTGCAGAGTCCCTGGGCCGAGGGGCCAGGGCTGTGAGGGGTGGGTGGCTGTCGCACAGGCAGCAGGTAAGAAGGTGCATTCTGGCATAAAAGAGTTTTTGGGAAAGGCTCCTGCGTCTGGGAGTTGGCAGCAGCAAGGGGAATGGGGCGCACGTCTTAGCCAAAGATGCTCTTGGCAGGTCCGGCTTTGGGCTTCTCGAAGACGGTCTCAGTGCCGGTCCGGTTGCTGCTGAACACAGATGGGGCGGTGGAGCCAGCTCGTTCTGTGGGGAAGATGGGGAGGTGGCGGAGGCGCATTTGTGGGGGGTGCCCCCCTGAGCTCAAGAGCTCTGGACTCTCAGGAAATGACCCTGGGGCCCCTCCCCCTGTCCCCCCCCACCCCCCCACCCCCCACTGACAGCCATCCATGCCCTCCACCCCCACTGCCCGGGAGGATACTCACCACACTCCCGCATGACCTGGTAGGTCTTGGACTTGATCTCCTGGTTCTTGGCTAGGTTCCCACGGGCCCCCTTCAGATCTTCCTCCTTCACCGGGGGGCACTTCTTCTTGATGGGCGCCTCCTGAGCACCAGCCTTGGAGAGCCCAGAGCCTCATCTTAAAACCCCAGGCCTTGAGGCTGAAAGCCCCTTCCCACCTCTGTGCCTTGGCCCTGAGATCCCTCTTCACTGGTCACTGAGCTCAAGCCAATTGAAGGCGCCACTCCTCTTCCAGGAAGGTTTCCCAGTTGTACTCCACCCCCCACCCCCAAGTCTCTCTGTCCTTCTCCCACAGACTGGGACCTCGGGGACTGTGGCCTCATACTGCCTGCCTGGCCAGACTCAGGCCTGGGCACAAAGGGCAAAGGGGAAAGGGACTGGTTTTGAGGTGGATTTCAAGGGGTGAATTCCACGACCTGCTCACTGGATGGCAAGGGGTCCCTTAGAGCCTGCCTCTCTCTCCCCAACTGCCCGCATTTACCTTGTGTGTTTTGGGGGTGGGAATAGGGTAGTAGAATCAGATCCCCATGAAGTCAGTCTGAAGTGAGCACCCCCCCATGGATCAGGCAGCAAGGAGAGCCCCCCACTTAGCCTGCTATTCTGTCTGTCCCTCCAGTACTAGGGATATTCAGACTCCGTGCTTATCCTGGCAGCCCCAGGCGCCCACGAGTCTGAGGCCTCACTCCTTTCTAAGCCCTGGGGACAGGTGCAGGGAATCCCTGGTCTCCAAGTCTGGGCTGGGCTCCTGGGGCAACAGGCTGCACCCCCTGCACAGAGATCTGTCCTGCTGGGGAGATGCCCAGGCAGAACTGTGTACCTACAGATCCAGCCTCACACACACTCACACACAGTCACACACACATGGCTACAAACGAGTCATATAGTCAGCTTCGTCGCACACAAAAGCATACACAGAGACTCGAAGTATCCTACATGTCGTCTCTACCCTCCGGGCAAACCAGGGAATACCACCGAACCCAAGATAAATAGGGGTTTGTCGGCAAGCTGGGGCTGGGGGATGCCCTCCCTGGGCCGTGGCCGTTCAGGGGCTGCAGAGACTCCTGTTTACACCTGGAGTTCAGCTCAAGACACGACCGTCAGAGTGGACAGTGTCCAGGTTCCCATCCCCGCCCCTGCCCCCACACAGCCGGCGCTGGGCCCTCCTACCTGGGACATGGTGGGTCCCCTGCTCCTCTGACAGACGCGGAAACCGGTGGAAAAGATCAGAGCCGCGCCAGCCCTCTGGGGCTTATATAGTCCCCTTGCCTGTCCTGGCAAGCCACTCCCCTCCTCGACGGGTGTCCCGATGATTCAGGTCCACAAGGCCTCTGGCTTCAGAGTTTATTCTTAGAGATGAGAGGGTCTGGCTGAGCACTGCTGCCTGGGGGGCTGTGGCCTGGAGAAAGCCGGTGGCGGGGGAGGCCCTGTGCCCTTGGCAACAGCTGCTCTAGGCCGGCAGGGGGGGCCGGGCCTGGCGCGAGCAACGGGAGTGTGGACGCCTGTGTGCAGCCTGAGCGCCACCCCCCCCCCGGGACGGTCCATCCCCACGCAGTCCCCGGGGCGGGGCGGGGGGTCCACACCAGGCGGAGCCCTTCTGAGCTTGTTTTTCCTTCTCTTCCCCCCGCTCCCTGGATTCCAGAGGCAAGAGACTTTCCATCCCTGCCCAGCAGGGCAGAAGCTTCCCGTGTCTGACACTCGGGAGCATGTGCTCGTGGCGCGGCCCCCCACGGTTCACAGGGGAGCAGCTGTGGCCGAGGGAAGCCCGGGGAGCCGCTCCAGCTCTTGGCTGCTGCCCCTGTCCTCTGTCTGGCTCCCGGGGCAAGTTCAGCAAAGGGACAAAGAGGCAGGGGGTAAAAGTGCCCAGGAAGGACCAGGAAGAGCCCCGTTTTCTGGTAAGGGCACTGGTGAGTGCAGGCAGGGAAGCGCACAGAGCCTCTGACTGGATGAGGTCACCCAACGGTGCCCGGCCTGAGGGCATTCAGGCTGCTGAAGAGGGTGGGTGACATCTGAGCCCGTTCCAGGCACTGAGCTGTGGGGCTCAGGGGAGACCCTCGCCGTGCATGGCAGGACTCTCCACTTGGGGTGAGTGTGGAGTGGAGGGGGCCGGGGGTGTCAGCCACCCCGAGCTCCTTGTCAGTCTGTGATGGCGATTATTTCTATCGTTGGAGGTTCCAAGCAGATGGAACGCCACCAGGCACTGCCATTTGCTTACCCCGAATGCCACTCTACTGCTGTCATACCTCCAATCCCACCCCAAGCCCCCGCAGGCCGATGTGAGGGCTGCCAGGCTCCATCTGGAGCAAGCGCTGACATGAGGAATGCCTTCCAACGGCCAGGGCCACCCACGGGGCACGGAGGGCAAGCCCGGCTGGGAGGGGCGCTTCGGCACCGTCCCCACAGCTGCCTCTGCCCGGGAGGCACCTGCCTTCCAGCCCCGTGGCCTCAGGGACAAGGATGGGGGCTGTTCACTGCTCACACCTCCTCCCCCCAGCACCACTTGCTCCTCAGGGGGAGGTGGAGTACCTTTTCCTGGCGTAGGCAGGCAAGTGGAAAGGGCAAGAGTATGCTTAGTTTTTTCCTTTGGCAGATTCTGGCTCCTGGGTCTTCACCAGGTGATGCAGGTTCATTCGCACTTGGTTTCCTGGGGAGAGTTGTTGTTGTTGTCTTCTTTTTTCTTTTTATAAAGATTATTTTATTTATTTGAGATAGGGAGAGCGAGAGCACGAGTAGAGGGAGAAGCAGGCTCCTCACTGAGCAGGGAGTCTGACACGAGGCTTGATCATAGGACCCCGGAATCACGACCTGAGCCGAAGGCAGCCGCTTAACTGACTGAACCACCCAGGTGCCCCTGGGGAGAACCCTCTAACTCGCTGGGGAAATTTTCTTGACCCCACTAAGCTGTTTCAGCTCTAAAGAACACACAACCAACAACCACATGTGATGGTTTCTTTTTTTTTTTTTTTAAAAACTGTATTAAGATGTGAAACTTTATTGTAAACCATTTTACAATGTAAGTACATCGTCTTCCCTTTCATTTCAAAAATGTGTTTCTGTGAATCTTACCACCACTGATGAAACACCCCCACCGGAAGGGCAGTGGAAATAGGCCATGGTTTGCTCAGACAGTTCTGAGTTCTAATAAACATCATGTAAAGAGAGATCAAATGAGACCCACCCACCCACTGGGCCAGGAGCTCAAGGTGCTGACGGCCGTTGGACCGGAAGTCCCTCACCCAGAGCAAAGCCCTTCAGAGCTGCCAGTGTTTCACAGGGTAAAACAGAGAGCTCTCCACTCCTGGTCGGAAGGGTGTGCAACTTCTAAAAGCCAGCCCTGCACCCTATAAGGTGGCTGCTTTGGCCAATGAGAAGTTCCCAGAGCCTTCTATGTTGGCTTGGCTGCAGAAAGGCCAGTGAGTTGTTTTCTGGACGGCACAGTGGGCTCCTGGGCGCCTTCCGATGGGGACTCTGGGCTGCAGGCTACAGGACTAGAGTGCCTAGGATTTGAGCCTTTACAGGTTTTCCCTTTAAAGGCATGACAGTCAACAGTCGCCTAGGACTCTCTGTTGCCAGGAAGGGGCATGAGTTAAAGCTTGAGGCAGGAGGCCACCAGCGTGCCTGAGGGTTAACTGATGGGCCACAGGCCTTTACCTCGAAGGTCTTCTGAGAAGACCAAGAAGCCACTGCCGCCTGAGATCTCACCAACATCCCCCCCTTGCCATTGTCAACACCCCACTGACAGCAAACGGAAATAAGGCTAACAATGATTCCTTCCATTCAGACATGAGAGTTCTACCTCATCAGGTTATTTCCATTAGGTACCAGAAACTTGTTCATGACCCTGACTTACAAGCTTCCATCATGGGTGCCGTGGCCAAGTCCACATCTGCACAGATCAGATGGATAGCACACAATATCCAGTTGGTGTCCCATGGTTTCTCAAGCACTGTGACACTTGCCATAGGGCCGGGTAAAGAGCTGTACCTTGTAAGGCACCTCGGGGCAGGTGGTAAGGAGACTCATCCCAGAGAGGGAGGACAGCTCAGGAGAAGGTTCTGACCATGGCCCTCTGCATCTGGTCTCTTGGGACAATGCACCACAGAAAAACCCCCAGTGACTGCAGGAAACACTCCAGGGAATACAAACTCTGTGTGTGTGTGTGTATACATGCACGTGCACACGCACACACACACACACACACAGGAAGGGAAAGAAAGGCCAAGCCTGCGAGGCCACGCTCTCCAGGCCCACACACCACAAGGCTCTCTGCGATTAGACACCCATCCCCTGGTCAGCTGGCTCTATGACCGTGGCTCAGAGACTACAGCCCTTATTGAAATTCAGGATACAGGAAAAACCACCCCTCACTAGCCACCACTTTGCTCCCCAAACACGACAAAACACGGGCTGCCCCACCATGCTGCTCCCACAGCAGGGCGAGCGCTCAGGCCAACCCACTCCGCTGTGGTCAGCAGACTCCCAAAGCTACAGGGGCCTGGGGCCCTACTGAGGAGTGAGGGCCACTCCCCGGGGAGGGGACCCGGGCTTCGAAGCACCTCCCCTGCCCGTGCATGCAGACAGCCAGCTCTCGCACCTCGACCCGCCCCGTCTCCGGCTGCCCTGCTGCTTTGAGGCCGTGAAAAACAGGATGGCCGGGTCGGGCAGGCGTTCCTCAGACTGTTGTGCAAAACAGGGGGACAACACCAAGACAACAAACAGACGGCGGCCCGGGAGGAATTCCTGGGGCTGGTCCAGCAGCTGGTTCCAAAGGCTCCACCTTGCACTGGAGGCAGGGAACACAGGGCTGGCTTCTATGGTCTCAGCTGCTCTAGACACAGACCTCTAGGCTCTGCTCTTGGCCACGTTTAACTAAGACCTCTAAACTGGCAGCAGAAAGCCAAGCGGCTGGACCCACGTGCCCCCGGCCTCAGACTGGCCTTCAGACCAGCTGCCTCCCCGCTCAGGCCTGGCCTTTACAGAGCCACTGGGTTCGTCCCTTTCAGACAAGGGCTCCTCTCCCTTCCTGCCGGGACCACTCACCTCATCTCATCACAGATTACCTAAAAATATCCTGAATACAAAAACTCCCGACTTCTTCCCGCCAGTTCACATCCCACGAAAGGCAGACAAACCCATTTCTTTGGGGATTAAAAAGAGTTTTTAAATACAATAGTATGAAAATATAACTTAAAAATATAAAAGTCAACAGCATACGGAAGACTTAAAAATCTATGTTTTGCTCATTAGTCCCATAGGAAATAAACACATACTCAAAAAACATTAACACTGTGACAGCTCATAAAACTGGCTTTAGAAATCAGTAGTTACAAAGCCATTTGGAGTAAGAAAGCATTGCGGTTCCAACTTGGTCAATGAGTGACTTTTAGCCCAAAACGTGTTACGTCCTCACACTCCCAGAGCCTTGGGGAAAGGCTCTACCCAGTCTGTGTGCGCGTCAGTTTTCCTCCTCAAGACCACCCAGCCAGACACAGGACGGGGCTTCGGGGTCCCTCGCAACATCGTTTGGGACAATGACAGACACACAAAATGCCTCGCTTGCATATTTGGTCAGTGTTTGTAGTGCAACTGAGTGGGGACCTCCGGCTGCCTGGAGCCCCTCGGCGCTGGCCCGGCCTCCCTCTGGCAAGTGACAGCAGTCTGGGAGCGGGCGGAGACAGCGAGAGGACTGGAGGTAGAAGAGGAGGGGCAGAGAGGAGGGAAGGAAGGGCACTGCGGAGCGACCGCCTGCTGACCTGGCGGGGCCCCCACACCTGACCCCAGCACAGGAGCGCGTCAGACAGGCAGCCCGAAGCGGTGCTTCTTTTTCTTCGCAGGCTTCAGGGGGGTCAGTCGGCGCAGGTCCTCCTCCACGTCAGACTCCTCCATCTCATCGTCGGCGGAGATCAGGATCTGGGGCGGTGGAGAGGCACGGCCTGAGTCACCACCGGCTGGGCCTTCTTCCTCTGCCCTCCCTGCACCCTGGCACCGGGGTGCTAACCCGTCTAGAAGGCCCCGAGACCAGCGCAGACGTCACTTACTCCCGGTGTATTCACGGGCTCCCGAAGCCAGCGCCGAGCGGACAAGGCCGCCCCTCGCTTCTGCAGCCAACCTCCAGCTGGGACGGAACCCCGGTCAGAGCAAACTCGGCAAGGACCCCCACCCTAAGGTCATCCTGGCAAAGAAGCCCAATCTGGACACAGGCCGTCCCAGGTCCTGGAAGGTGCCCTACAGACAGCAGAAGCAAACTGAAAAGTCCCCTCAAAAGGAAAAGAGAACCTCTGTGGGGCACACACGAGGTAGACCGCGCTCAGTGCACCGAGCCCACTCTGCAGCTTGTGCAGACGAGCCCTGCACGCTCCTGAGCATCTGGAATGACCCCGCCGTGGAGCAAGGGCATCCAGGCAAACAGTCCCTTCTTGCCCACCTGCCACGCCGCCTGCTGGCTCCTCAGGCCTCTCGGCACCGGGGAAGCACAGGGACGGTGCACCCTGAGCTCATTCTTCCCGGGGCAGGACAGCTGCGTCGCCTCTCCCTGGACCACTTTCCTTGGGGGGTTCCCTGAGTAGACCTTCCCTCTGGCTCCCTACTGCCCGTCCAGACATGCCCCCATCACCAAGCACCTTGCCCATCTGGCTGAGACCTTCGCCTGCACCTCATTCCATCCTACCCTATGGGACACACGCTGCTCTGGCCACAAGGGGTTTCGTGTGACCCAGAGGCCACCCCGCGTGACCACGACTGCTCCTGAGTGGTTGCTTCTGCCTGTGGTGCTGCTTGTCATTCATCTAACGTTCGTCAGGCTCTTACGACAGGACAGGCCCCATGCCAGACCCTAGGGACACCTGGAGAAACTACGGGCTTACCCTCTGTCCTACTCTTCTAGCCAGCTTCCAAAACTCCCTCCAGGATGCCCCCAGGAGTTAAACAGACCGTCCCAGGGTGCTCACAGGGCTTTGGGAACGCCTCAGTGTCAGAAGGATCACACCGTCTTAGAAGGAGCTCTTCAGACGCTCACCTTCACCTCATGCAGCCTGAAGGTCTCTTGGGGAAGACACTTCCACAGCCCTACCCTCACTGCAGAGCTGGGCACACTGAGAAAGCTGACGAGGCCTCTCAGGGGGCAGCCCTCACCCTGTAGCATGGAGGGGTGCAGGCTGCCCAGAAGCATCACTTCGCCTCTATGCTCCTATCTGTGACCACCAGTCTCCCCGAAGTCCAAACCTTTAAACCTAGGAAACCTGACAGTGAGGGGAGGGGAGGTTCCCCGGAAGGTCTGGCTACCCCTATGTTTTAGAAGTTTCTAGTGGGCTTGGCCAACACCTCTGCTGCTCTGCAGTGGTGAGCAGGGAATGCAACACCTTAATGCTTAAAGGTCTGCGATCAGGCCCAGGACAGTCCTTGCCAGCTTCCCTGGAACAAGGCAGCCCCTCCCTTCCCTGTCTTCCTCCACTGGCGGAGGTCCGGACTGTTGGAGGCGAGCTCCTGCTACCCCATCGGGTGCTCCACCTCCCTGCCGTGGGAAGGCCAGGGGCCACAGGAATGGGTCCTTGCTGGATGGAGGCTGTCAGCCTCTTCTTCCTCCCCCCCGGCCAGTGCTGGGAAGACCAGATGCAAACAGAGGCCAGGGACCTCCTCAGGACGGGGCGCGGCATGAGGGCTCGGCCCTACCTCAGACTCTGACTCCTCGTGGGACGCAGCCCTTCGATAGCGGACCTTGCTCCCGTTCCTCGAGTCCTGGTTGGCTCCCCTTTCTTCTAGTTTAGCTTTCGTCCTCCCCTTTCTCATGAGGAAATTGTCGACTACCCAAAACATCAAAGCCTGTGGGGAGGAAACGTGCATGTTACTCTGGGATAAGCCATCTGTCAAAGCACAGCAGAGCCCATCGCCATCCTTCCCACCCGCTCCAGATTACAGCGTCCAGAACAAGGGGAAGAAAAGCCTCCTCCAGTCCCCCAGCTCTCTCACAAGCGTACAAAGAGATTCCCACCCTCCACGTCCTTTGCTTCTGCTTTCTTATCAGACAGCCAGCAAGAAAATCCTGGCCCTCTTCACCCTGAGTGCTGGTAACTGATGGGGACTAGCTGCTGGCAAGGTTTCTGCGCTGAGAGGCTGGCCCGCCCACTCTGCCACGACTGTCAGCCCCAGGCAACTTTATTGTTCCTTCTATTTCCTAACTTCTAGCCAGTGTGCTCATGAGTTTCTCTTGGAGCTCTGGGGTCAGGGATAAGACAGGGGTGAATTTCTAATATCCTGATCTAGAAGTTGCTCGTTGTGCAAGTGGAGGGCCTCCTGGGCAGGAGGTCCCCTGGCAGGGAGGGCAAGACAAAGTTTCCAGGACCCTCCCTCTTGCACGGGGAGCCTGGATCAGGGATCTGACTGCTGAGGAAGCAATCCTGCCATTTCCAGGTCTGGGGTGGGGAGGGGCCTGGAGGCTGTAAGGGGCTTTGTCTGTCAGACTCAGAACTGTGAACAGGACACTGGAAGGCAGAGAGCACATGGGGGTAAAATGCAACATGGCACTGACATTGACAAAGAAGGGGACGATCAGCATGACGATGGCCAGTTTCAGGTCTGGGTTTTCAATGGGATTCAATAGGGCCACCTGTAAAGAGAAGCAGACTCTGTGAGGTAGGGAGAGACCACAGAGAAGGCGCCTGGGGAAAGGGGGGTAACAGCACACATCACCCATGGGGCCCTGAGAAGGGTGGCTTAGCTTAGATGACACTCCCCCAGAACCCTGATGGGAACAGTGCCTCACGCCCAGGGCTGCATGGTCTGTCCCTAGGTGTGACTGCTAATAAGGGACAGACCCCTCGGAGAGCACTTGGAGCAGTTAGGGCTTTAGCAGCTTTCCCAGTGCTGTGGACTTGGGAAACATAGTGGGCTTACAACCACCGAGCAGAGTAGGGCCCACACACCACGAGGCACGGAGGGTGGGGGTGGTGGGGCTTCGGGGAGCTGGAGGGAATGAGGTCGGTGGATGCTCATTACAGACACTAGCAATGAGACGCCAGGCCACTTCCTAACAGAAATCCTGCACCCCAGCCACCTCCTGAAGGACAACAGCTCTGAAAAGCCTTGGTTTATTTTCTTGAAAAATAAAACTCCGACACAAATAAAACCAAAAGAGGGGTGCCTGGGTGGCTTAGTTGGTTAAGTGTCTGCCTTTGGCTCAGGTCATGATCTCAGGGTTCTGGGATCGAGCCCCCTCCTCCGGCTCCCTGCTCAGCAAGGAGTCTGTTTGTCTCTCTCCCTCTGCCCCTCCCCCCTCTTGTGCTCGTGTTCTCTCTCAAATAAATCAATAAAATCTTAAAAAAAAAAAAACCACCACCACCAAAGGAAGGCCAAGTTCTGAGCTATTCGAAGGCTCTTTGGCTGGTTTCATGTGGCCACGTGGGGGAACTGGGCAGTAGAGGCTTATCTACACAGCACCGGGGCCAGAGGGCAGGGCCGAGGGACCCCTGGGAACAGCGTGTGGCCAGTGGGACCAGGTACCTCCTATGGCACCCAAAGCCTTGATTAAACCACTGGCCAAGAGAGGTGGGTGAGGATGCAAATGGAGCGAACACCCTCCTGACAGTTACAGGCGGGAAGCCTAAAGACCGAGTCAGCCAGGAAGCAGCCCGAGGGCAGACTCATCTCCACTGGCTTTACGTGTCTCCAAGCTTAATGCAGGGCAGACATTTGCACGATTCAAATAGACGGATGCTAAGTGAAAAAACAACTTCCTGCTCCCGAAAGGCTGCCACAGCACACAGAATCCAGACCGCATTCGTGGAGGTGGAAAAAAAAAAAGGGAAAACAAAGAACACATTTGGTTTTCCAATAAGGTTGGGGCATGTGGGTGGTAGGGGACAAGTCCCGTCTTGCTCGGCATCCCAAGGAGCTCCTAAAGAAGGGACAAGAGGCAAACCTTTTTCCACTGAAGTATGAGGAGGACGATGAAGACGACAGACTTTTCAAAAATCATGATCACGATGTAAAGAGCACACTGCCCAACCCAGGCTCCGCACTGCAGAGGGTCTCCTGCAGGGACAGTGGGTTCGCAGTCACGCGGGGCCCAGACGCCAGGATCTGAGCCCATGTCCCACCCATGCCCACAGCTCCCGGGAGCCCCCACCAGAACCCTGGCTCTAAAGCCACTTCATGAGCCCCCAAAGCACCAAGAATCACTTCAGCCCGACCAGACACATGGGGGTGTTTTAGACAAAATCACAGAATTCCTAATTTGGAGATACCAGAGTGGCATTTCTTTCAAGAGATTCTAGGATATAATTAAGGAGACTAAAGTTAGTAAGTGCTCACTGCTGGAGCTCAGAGAGCTGGCTCTTTCTGTCCCCGGCAGAGCTGTGTGAAGCAAGATTGCTATTATTATCCGTTGTTGATTTTTCCAGTGACTGTGGCGCTATCCATCCTTTCTTCCATCCATGGGCTACCTGACCGTGTGTGACTATGAAGGCAGCAAACCTCCTCTCTGCCGGTCTGCTGCCCCGAGCCACCCTCCCCAGCTGCTCCTGCTGCCCTCAGCCCTGAAAGCGGAATTCGTACTGGAAGAATCTCGGTTCTGTCTCTACGGGGTAGCCCAAACAGCTGTGCTGGGAACAGGGAGGGAAAAGCAGGCAGAGAGGCAGGAGGGAGGGGCTGTGCCTTGGGGCCGTGACAAAGGTCCATCTGTGACCCCATCAGTCACTGTGCTTGAGAAATGGAGAAATGCAACAGTCCACGCTGGGGCACATGCAGGCCCTGGAGGGCCTCCAGAATGTTTCAAAAAGGACTAGAGGAAGGCTGGAGGACTAGCCCCAGGGACGGGGCTGTATCCTTGGGGACAGGCAGAACCCATGGGATGGGCCCCTGGGGAGGTACACATGCCAAGTGGAGACCTAGGGAAGAGCTGGAGGGGGGGGGCGGATGGGGGGGGGAAGCCACCGGGGCTGGCTCTGGAGGCTCTGCTGGAGTTGCCTGAGCATCGCTGGCCAGAAAAGGGGGTGGAGGGCAGCATTTCAGGGGAGCCAAAGGCCCCCCCATCTGGGCTGTGAGGCGAGAACCTGGCCCATAGCGAGGCTTCTGGGTTCTCGTGCGATGCTAGGTCTCCGTGGCCACGGCTGCGCAGGCACAGATGCCAGAGCAGGCCCAGCCGAGCCAGAGCCTGCCAACGGGGCGCGGTGCAAGCGCAAGCGAAGACCTTCATGCAGCGTTAAGGACACACCACCAGCCGTTCCTCTTCTGGAAAACCTCAGGAGCAGGGCGCAGAAAGCATGCAGAGAGCCATCAGGGCTGCTTCTGAGCTCGTCCTACTTTCACTTCTGGGATTAGACACATCTGAGCCAAAAAATCACCTTCAGAAGCACAATCTCTCCAGCTAGATTTTTAATGGACCGCTGGAATCCCCTCAGTCAACTGCGTGACCTTACTGAAAAAAGTTCTCAGAAATAACGGATCAAAATATTTCTTAAAAATCATAAAGATCGGAGATAGACAGAAAGCACTAGTAGGAAACATCTCCGAATGTGGACTGGCGTGTTTGAAGTCAGCAGACCAAGGGGCCACACTTCATGTCAAAAGAAAACTTGCTCGCTCCATGCGCTCGCTCCGTCTACCTGTGAGCTTGGCAGTGACCGACAGAGCGGGACAGGCTTTCCGCCCCTCCCCCACCCCCGGACGCTGAATTGACCCCACACTGCTGAGTGTCAGCACCACAGCTTGGCCATGGCCGCAGCTTCTTTCATTTATATGCTTTAATAAGACAGCTAAAAAACATGGTGAAAAAAGAAGAAAAGTCCCCTGTAAACGCGTTCCCACCCTCCCTTCCTCCTCTGCATCTGGACCACCGACAGCCCCAGCTGGAATGAGCGTGTGTGCCGGTCTGCTTTTCAGGTTTGTTTCCTTGGAGAGCCTCTCAGATGTTCCCCACTGTCTCACTGTTCATGGACACATGCGCCAGGCATTCTCGACGTGTCCTGCTTCTTACCACACTGGACAACCTCAGGCAGATGGGTGTTTTGTGTTTGTTGAATAACTTCCTCAGGAGAGATCACAGGGATAGGGGACAAATGGACGGAACACGTCTGTCTCCCAAGGCTTCAGGAAGGGAGCATTAGGACAGGGGCAGGCAGCGAAGCCCACAGACCACTGGCGCCCACGGGACACAGACCTGCTTTCAGGGCTTCCCCTGGGGGAAAAGCTGCCTGGTCATCAAACCGCAAGCACAGTTATCACCTGGATCTTGTCTCGCCCCTCAGGGCTGTGTGGCTTATTCCCCAAGTCCCATGCGCTTGTTGCCAAGTTTATCCTCTCCTCTAAGGACAAAGGAAGCACCTAGAAAACAAGCCCCTCTCCTTCACTTAGCCGAGAAGAGAGCTTTGGGGCCTACCTGGAAATATTGCCTCAAGAAGATGGGCCAGTTAACAGGTGTGGTAGGTGGAATAATGGCCCCAGAGACATCCACATCCTAGTCCCAGGAACCTGTGAATATGTTAGGTAACGTGGCCCAGGGGAAGTACGGCTGCCAACCAGCCGCCTCTAAGCTAGGGACAGTATCCTGCAGTATCCACGTGGGCCCAGTGTACTCACAAGGGCACTGAAGGAGGTGCTAGAAGGTCAGCATGATACCATGTGAGAGGAGCCTGACCGGCTGCCGGCCCCTCAGGGGCGGAGGGGCCACAAGCAGGGAGGGCAACCAGCCTGTAGGAGCGGGAGACGGCAAGGACATGGATGCCCCCCCGGAGGCTCCAGAAGGAACCACTCCTGCTGACACCTTGACTGTAGCCAGTGAGACCCATGTGGGACGTCTGAACTACACAGCTATGAGGTAAGAAACCTGTCGTTCGAAGCCACCAATTCTGTGGAAATCTGTTACAGCAGCGACAGGACACACGACCACAGAGAGAAACAGAAATCGGTAAGAGAGGATGTGCGCCGTCCTCCCTCAGCCCGGGGAGGGAGGACTCGGGATGCTCATCTGGAGACGCCCTGGTTTGAAGACTCTGGGAAGACGAGGGTGGGAAGGGGGTCGCCGGGTGGCACGCGACTGGCTGTGGGGGGCTGTCCCGCAGCGCCGGTCACTACAGCCGAGCCGAGGGCGCTGCCTTCCAGGACGATCTCACTGCCCTCGGAGGTGGTGGCAGAGGCCACGCCCGCCCCCAGCTGCGCGTCACTCAACCCGTCTGGGTACCTACGTGTGTCCGCCAAGCGGAGGGGTCATGACTCGGGGCTTCTCAGAAGCCTTCCCTCAAGCCACGGGAGCGTACACCGTGTGCTGGACGCTATCTAAAGTCCGTGACTCATCAGGCATCAAGTAACGGGGCTAAGAAAAGCCCTCCCCTGAGTTCATCTCCCCTCAACGGAGACAAACAATTGCTTAAGGTTTCTGAACTACCCAGGCGCTCACAGAGCCGGCTCCACGGATCGGCCCCTCTTCTACACGTTAGTGCCTTGTGAGTCTTCAGTCATCGAGGAGGGGGCGGCCCTGAGGCCCAGAGCCATGAACTCTGTGGAAGGTGTGACCAGGAAAGGAGAGTGGAGATCCAGAATGCCTTCCCTCTTGTCCTGTGTGTCCCTAGGTAGCTGCGGCCCCGCTGGTGCTGTTCCCACCGAGACCAGGAGCTCCTGCTCCCAGACAGCAGGGGCCAGGCGTGAAGGAGGGGGGGAGACCTGCTGTTGCCCCTTAACCCTGGTGTGGCAAGGCCTGAGGAAGGCACTCTTCCCGAAGCCTTGTGCAGGCCACAGCCAGCTGCTTCCCTGGGCATACAAAGTGAGGGGCCAATTCGTTTGTGCTCACAGAGTGGGAGGGCAGCTTCCTAACCAGGCCCTTGTCCTGGGGGTCTGAGGAGAGGGGAGGGGGTCTAAGATGAGCCAGCAGTCACAGGTCACCTGTTTTAAGGCGAGTGAGGATGGTTCCTGGTGACTGCACGCGCCCGATGCTGGTGGGGAGCCAGCCTCCAGTCAGGAGACAGTAAGGCGACTTGGCCCTGGCGTGGGGGTGGACAGCCCCTGTAGCGAGACGGCCCGATGACAGGACAAGCACAGACACGCAGCAGAAGAGGGCCACCTCCCTACCGACCTCCTCCCAAACTGAGAGCCGTCCCCATTTCTCTAACAAGGGGGGCAGGTCGTGTGGGCTCGGTGAGAAGCCTGGCAGAGCGGGGTAGCCTTACAGCCTGCAGGGGGCGCCGCCGGTGCCCTCCGGCGGACCTCCCTGTGTCTCCGGTCTCTGGGCTCCTGCCATCAAGTGGCAGTGGTGTGCACATCTTCACGCCTCAGATGGGTGGCACTGACACTAGCCGGGGCATGGTGTTCAGGCCCCAGAACCAGCCCCACCACCACACAGAGGAGACAGAAACCGGCTCCGGAACCTTCAAATCCACTGGCCTGGAGAGCTGACCGGGGCAAGGAGCAGAGTGCCCCTCCCCCCCAGACCCCCACCCAACGTCCGCGCTACATTACCATATTCGCCAAATCGCAGGGACTCCCACTGCTGCCACTCCACCAAGACGCTGACGGCGCGCACCCCCGCGTAGATGAGCAGCATGCCCACGGTGGCGTCCAGGAGGAAGTTGATGAGGTACCTGGGAGAGCAGCATAGCAGCGCCGTCAGGAAGCACCAGCCGGGCAGCAAGGGCCCCTGAGCCCGGCCCTGTGTGCGTACCAGGGCCACCTTCAAGCCGGATGACCCAGCACTTCGGCCTGTTCTGGGGGGCCCGTGCAAGAGGCTGCGGGGCTCACTCCCAGGACCCATGATAGCGTGCTGACACTCATCGGGTCAAAGAACTTGAGGGAGGAGTGGACAAGGGACAAAGAAACTTGAAAGACCTCCAACGCTCCCACCAAATGAAGACCTGACACAAGACACAGTGCCTGGAAGCAGCAAGGACGTCAAGAGGGAAACAGAACTGAATTCATTAAAAGAAATCTGCTCCATGACGCTGTTCACACCCTCAGCCCCAATACTGCTCCAGGGCAGCTCAGGACATGGCTTCTGGGGTTTCTTAGACCAAAGAGGGCAGGGCCACGGGGCTCTCGCTCATCCCTGTGTTTCAGAGCCTGCCATGGAGGCAAGCGTATTTCTAGAGAGAGCTTTACTCCCATGGAAAAGGCAGGATGATGGAAGGAGAGAGGGGTCAGCAGAGCTCTCCCACCTCAATCCTGTGTTCTCATAGGTCTGTTTCCATGTGTCTGACACACACCTCCTCCCTCACCAAGGAGAGGCCCTCCCTCGAGCGCCCTGTCCCTGGATCTTGCCGGACACCCTGGTCACACGCGCCAGTGCTCCAGACCAAGTAGGAGACAGGCCGTCACTGGGTCAGGTACCGGCCCCCGGGGACGCCAAGTGGCTCAGAAAGCCCTCAAAATACTTTCAGATGCCACAGACCAACTGCGGTGCTTTCCAGCTGCCGAGGCCGGAGACATTTCATGCAGACTCGCAGCCCCCACCTAAAGACCGACGCTCTGGTGCCAGGCACACACTGACACGGGAGGGAGCACGTCCTGCTTGGCGGGTGCTCACGGCCCCATGGTGCCCTGGCGGGGCCAGAAAACCAGAAGGGCGGACAGCGGTGTCTCCCGCCTGCCCTTCCTCCTTAACATCACAAGGGGTCACTCTCAGACCAGAGACCGAGGCAGAGCAGCCGTCCAAGGCAACGTCTGCAAGTTCTCAGCTGGCCCTCGCCTAAGCTGCTCTCAGACGCGTACATCTAATTGGTTTCAAGTGGTTCTCACAGCTGAGGCTCGCCCTGGAAGCCACAAGAACACCGGACAGACACACGTCAGTTCATTCATCCCCTCACCAAATATTTATGCCGACTGTGCGCCAGGCCCTGGGGCTAAAGACGGAAAGCTCTCTACACTCTACCCAACACAGATGAGGCCGGCGGATTGGCCGGCTTCAGATCCCAGCTCCATCACCATGAAGCCGTGTGAATTTAAGTTCCCTCCTCTCTCTGTGCCTCGGTTCCCCAAGCTGTAAAATGACGATAACCAAATTATAGGGCTAAACTGTAGGGCTGTTATCAGGATCAAATGAGTCAGTACGTGTGAACAACGCCTACCCGTAGTAGGCACTATACAAATGTGTGGTTTGAATCATGGCCCCTCAGAGTCACAGAACCCTGGATGTCACAGAAGCTTAACTCCCTCCCAAAGCTGTCGGGATGGAACAAGGAGCAGAGCCCCCAGCCCAGGGGACCCCTGCAGCCACAGGGGGCAGCTCTTCCTCTCTGTAAGTTTCTCCTCTCCCAGAGCTGAAGCTGGCTTCCCTTCCGGTCTGCAGATTCCCAAGATGCCTCCAGGCCAGCCCAGCCCAGCCCATCCCCCACCTGTAAAAAGTCACAGGGCAAAGCCAGGACAGCAGGACCTGGAAGAGATGGCAGGGCCCGGGTGCCCTCCACTCCCCAAGCACCACCTGCTCTCCTACCCACTGCTGGGGCTCTCACACCTTTCCTAACTTTTAACAACATCCTCCAGCTGAACTGTTAACTCCCTCACCAAGACGTGAGCCTATGGTTTCCAGTGGTGCTTATACTCAACAACTCCTGAAACCTTCACAGGAATCCTGGGCATGCGGCGGGACACACAGGACAGGGGAGCAAAGTGGGGCTCAGTCTGGCCTCTCAGCCAAGTGCCTTCACCATACCAAGCTCCACCTTGGGCCCTTTCTCCTCCAGGCTGAGCACTCGAGATCTGTCAACAGCCCCTTCTCCATCCTTGCTGTGATTCAGTTTGCCAACGTCCTTCTTAAAGCTGTATCGTCTTCTTTTTGCAGCCGGGCAACGGAGGTGCTGCAGGGGGGAGCCACACGGCCGAGGCTGCACCAGGAGTGAGGTTAGTGCGTCCGGCGCCAGCCTGCCTCTTAGTCTATCCCGGTCAACAAGACGGACATCTATCCCGGACATCAAGACGAATTCACCAGGGGATGACTCCAGCCTGCTGGGGGCTCAAGAGTTGGAAAGACAACCATCTCCCAACCATCTCCCCTACGGGACGATCACCTTTCCTTCCAGTCCCCCACTTTGGGACTACACCCAAACACCCAAACAGATCATAACCTTTCCAGGTCTCAGAGAAAGACTCTGGGCAGGGAGACTTCATAACTTCCTTCTGAAATCTGGGCCTGGACTAAATGTGCACAGTCACCAAAAAAGGAGGCTTAAAAGAATCTTCCAGTCCAAATGATCTCAAATATACACGAAGCCTCTTGGCAAGGGACTCACGAGCCCCCGCCATGTTCTCTCAAAGGCAGGGCAGGACGGCGGTGGGGGTGTTCCAGGCAGAGGGCAGCGTGAGCAAAGGCACAGAAAGAGGAGACAGCTGGTGGGGTTGAAGGCCTCCAGCACAGCATGACTGGAGCAACAAGTCTGAGCCAGGAAGGTAAGAGATGGAGTTGGGATAGGGCAGGTGAGCCTCCTTTTCCACTCCATCTGGGGTTTCGGTCAGATTGCACAGGGTGGGGGGCTGTGTGGAAGGCACACTGCAGTGATGAGCCAGAACCACCCATGATCTTCAGGTCAAAGAGATCGATGCTGGTCAACAATGGCTTTGACCCTGAGTGTCTGGCACCCCAGAGAAGCCCCCCGTGTGTCCTGTTCTAGCAGAGATATTCCTTTAGGGCACTATGCTGCCCCGCTAGGGGCCAACCCCTGCCGGGAGGCATAAAGCTACTAAAACACCACGGGCCAGAGCTTGGATGAGCAGAGAGCCAGCGCACAGGGCAACTGGCAGCAGGCAAAGCCCTAAGAGGCAGCTGACAGCTGTGTATGTGAACCCACAGGCAGCACAGAGAGGACGGGCTCTCAGGGGAGCACAGAGCACAAAGCGGGGGTTGCCCCCTCCCCAGGCTAGAGGGAACAGGACTGGTGGCAGAAAGCAAGGCCAGTCTACATTCGCGGCAGAGGGGTGGGTGATGTTTGTCCTCGAATACGGGCCACTTACAGTGAACAAGGGTCCTCTTCAGTGAGATCTGCTAGGTACACATTTGCAAAGTGGATGAACAGCATTCCTATGGCTTGTTTGGAAGTGTCTAAAAACCTGTACGAAATAGGAGCAGCACTTGTTACCATCCTGACAGGAGGGTTATATCCAATTTGGGGAAAATGAGAAGTCTGAAACAGGAAGAAAGCCACCGGGAGCTCTCAACCTTCCCTTTACTAGTCGCCTCTTTCTGGGGCGTTGGTACTAACTCAGCCTTGGCGCCTCAGCGACCTTTCAAAACCTTCAACAACACTGCATCTGAGCTCCCTGAGAGGCCCCTGATTTAGAACACACATTTAGGGGCGCCTGGGTGGCTCAGTCGTTAAGCGTCTGCCTTCGGCTCAGGTCATGATCCCCGGGTCCTGGGATCGAGCCCCGCATCAGGCTCCCTGCTCCGCGGGAGGCCTGCTTCTCCCTCTCCCACTCCCCCTGCTTGTGTTCCCTCTCTCGCTGTCTCTCTCTCTGTCAAATAAATAAATAAATCTTAAAAAAAAACCCACACATATTTAAACACATTAAACACACGTTTAAATTAGGTGTTTACTTTTTCACTTTTTGTCATTTCAAAATGAAATGCTGACCACAGCTTTCGACGAAGTCGAAGGCGCCTCTATTTTAAAGAGCTCCCACTGGACGCCCCTCCGAGCTAAAGGCCGTCTGTGCAAGACTAACAAGACGCACAGATCCAGCCCCGCGGCTGAAGCCCCAGAGACTTCCAGCTGTTGCCATTTAAGCCCTGTGCTACATCGGGCCAGGCAAACTTCTTCTGTAAAGGGTCAGAGGGTAAATATCTTCGGCTCGCAGCAACCCATCATCCTGCCACTGCGTGTGAAAGTGGCCACAGAGCCCGCCATTCCTCTAACAATTCAGTTAAGAAAATGGACAGCAGCCTGTGGGCTGTAGTCTGCCAACTCTTGGGCAGGAGTTTCAAAAAAGAAAAGAAACAAGGGTGCTAGTTCTGGGGACACTCTGCTGCCCTGTCCGGAGGGGGCCTTAAGTTTCTCGTCTGCCATGCACACCTGGAGACCGCTGGTGGTCTGTGGCTGAGGAACCTCTGTATTGGGGCCATTTCTCCTGGCCTCCCAGGCTGGGCATTCAGGGTTGGGCCGGACCACTGAAGGGGGTCATGAAGGGGCACATGGGCACGGGACAGCAGGACGGGGTCTCAGAACTGAATGGACCTTAGAGATTATCCAGACCAAGCCTATGACTGAAGCTTAAAAATCATTTCCTAAAATAATGGCAAAGTAGAAGTCCCCAAAGGGCAATGTGTGTCCCACAGAGTGCCCCAATTCCAGACCCTCCCCAGGTCCCCCGGCCCAAGCCAGATACCGAGATTCGAGAGAAACTGATTGGGGAAAATAAAAATAAGCCTCAACATTCACAAATAATGCACTGAAGATCAATCAAGCATATGCTCAAAATGCTGTAAAGGGCCTTTAACACACTGATTTATCTGAAGTCTTCTCTGCAGGGGGAAATGGCTGTTTTATCAGCACAGCTGCAAGCCTAAGGCAACCCAAGAGAGTCCGCGTCTTGTGGACATGATGTTGTCCTGAAGAGCTGGCGGTCTGCCTTTTTCCGGAATTCTGTCTTTGAAGGCGGTGTCTGAAGTTCTACCACCCTTTTATGAAGGACAAACTGCCACCATGGGGTCATCCTAGGACCAGGGAAGATGAGTTTTGGGGAGAGGAGCATTCACATGGTGTATCTGACGCATCTCCAGATTTAGAGAATGTTTTGCTTACACACACAGACTACAGAACCCAAGGATTTCCCACAACCTAACAACAAGGAGACATAATTAAAGAGAATAAAGAATAAAGGCAGAGCTCAACATTATCTAGAGGAACTTCTAGAAGTCTTTCGTATTAGATGTAGTTCCTGATGATTAATTCAACTAAGGGATTCCGACACTTTATGCGATGCAGAATCGCTCCCATTGCCCCCCACCCTGCAAACCCCAAAGAATCCACAGCATTGTAGGAAGGTGTTAATATATACATACGCACCATATCCTCCACGGCCGTCTCTCGTGCTTTGGTTCTCTGAAGCGCTTGACTGGAAGAAAACACACACACTCAGCGGCTTGCCACAGTGACAGCAAAGCAAAATGCATACAAGGAGGGTTATCAGCACACTCGGGGCTGACCCTCTGAGTTAAGGTCCCTGCTCTTTTAACATGTGACAATATACACTAAGGTCACAGAGGCCCTGAGCTGCTGGTCTGACCAGTACAGCCTCTTCAGAACTGGACACTTAGGAAGAACGATACCTCACAGTGTGTGGAAAACTATTTTCTTCTCCTTTGTGACGAGGTTCTCTCAGAGAGGGCCTGGAGCCCAAAAAGTGGAACGCACTACTTCCAGCTTCAGGATATGCTCCACACCCAATGACACGTCCATTCAGCCCCCTACCCACCCCGCCCAAATAGTGACTCAGCACCCACTCCAAGCCCAGCACTGAGGAGACAAAGGCAACAGCAGGTGTCCGGCAGGAGAGCAGGCCCGTAACCATCTAGTGAGGCAAGTGCCAGGGGACAGGTATGTCTGAGGCAGGGTGAGGGCACAAGGGAAGAAGGACCACCCCCGGCTGCCTGCAAGGACGTGGGTCAGGACAGGCTGCACTGGGCGGGGGGGGGGGGGGGTACGGTACAGAGCACACACAAGCTCACAGGACAGGGACATAACATGGCAGACAAACTGAGCAGGAGCCACGTGACGGAAGGTCTTGAATGCCAGGCTAAGGAGTCTGGAAGGAACCCCGTAGGGAAGGGAAAGCTGGGACAGAGTGCTAGGCAGAGTCAAAGACATGGTCGGAACTGTGTTTTAGACAAATGGCTCTGAATCATGTAGATGGTGGGTTTCTGGGGCTGGAGAAAATGGTGGCTGAGCCCCTGTACCAGGCAGAGGGGGCACCCCGCTACAGCTCAGCCAGTGGGGGTGGGGTGCTCCTTCAGCCACAGGCCGACCTCAGACGGCAGAGGACTGCCCAGACTGACACCCTCACCTCGGGTCTGCAGATGCAACCCCACCAGACTGTCTCCACAAGTCTACCCACAAAAACAAGCCCTGAAAGAGCTGCTGCCCCTCACAAAAGCACCAAGGAACAGATGCACCAATGCAGGCCCACAGAGGATGCCTCGTTCCTACGGGCAGGAGGCGAGAACCGACTTCTGGCAGAGCCCCGAGCTGCCAGTGAGGGTGCAGGAGGAGGAGGAGGAGGAGACGGGGAGGCAGACCTTGGTGCCCAAATCGATGGACCCTGCTTCTCTAAATGCAAACAAGCTGTCTGCAGTTTGCAAAGCGAGAGCTGTCTGTATACAGAAACAAAACAGGTCTTGTGTTCAGAGACATTTCGATTGACCAAAAAGCAGGAGGAACTGTAAGGAGGTCTGTCATTCCATTGATATATCACAGATCCAAAATATGAACAGCGTCAAAGGATCCGGAGGTGGGGCCAAGAGGTTCTGCTCGCCCAAATGGTTCTCAAAGGCAGGGGGCCTCCTCCCCACAAGTACGCACGTCTCACGGGGCACTTGGGAAGGAGACGCAGAGGAAACTGGGCCAGGACAAAACCATCTGGAGGGAAAGCCCCAGTTAGGACCAGAGCCCCGTCACACGCATTGGTGCTTCTGCCTCCTCAGGGGAATCTGTCCCCGTCAGCACAAAATAAACACAACCTGAGGAGAACGTCCTCATTCCGAGGAGACACATGCTGAAGTACCAGTGGCTGCAATTCACCTGCAACTGGTTTAGGGAAAAAAACTACACAATATATATTACAATTATACAAAGTAACTATATGATAAATGGTATAATACATTAGAAGTAATAAATACAGTATCAGCTATTATATAATACACCTATTATTTATATTAATACGATCTATAATATAGAAAGAGAAGCAAATGTGGTGTTATGGTCTTAACCCTCAGGACCTCAGAATGTGGCTGTAGTTTGGAGACAAAGTCTTTACGGAGGTAATTAAGGTAAAATGAGGTCATATGGGTGGGTCCTAATTCAGCATGGCTGGTGTCCTTATAAGAAGAGATTAGAACCCACACAGATGGACGGGCGACCATGTGAGCACCAGGTGAGAAGGTGTCATCTGCAAGCCGAGGGAGAAAGGACCTGGAAGAATCCAACCCTGCCCACACCTTGATCTGGGACCTACAGCCTCCAGACCCGTGAGAAAAGAAAGTTCTGGTGTTCGAGCCACCCAGTCTGTGGTACTGTATGGCAGCCCCAGCAAACTAACACATGGGGCAATATAATAATCGGAGAACCGAGATGAAGGATATTTGAGTATTCATTAAATGACTAAACTTTTCTGTAGGTTTAACGCTTTTTTTTTTGAAATAAAAAGTTGGGAGGAAAACATACTGTAAACGGCATGCACGAGTACAGCCATTCGGAGGTCCATCTGGCAATATCAATCAAAATTTTCAGTGCCCAGGCCCCCCCCCCTTTTTTTTTTTTTTTAGATTTTATTTATTTGACAGAGAGAGAGACAGCGAGAGAGGGAACACAAGCAGGGGGAGTGGGAGAGGGAGAAGCAGGCTTCCCGCTGAGCAGGGAGCCGGATGCGGGGCTCGATCCCAGGACCCCGGGATCATGACCTGAGCCGAAGGCAGACGCCTAACGACTTGAGCCACCCAGGTGCCCCGCCCAGGCCCCTTTAAACTGCAAGGCACTGCCAGGTGTGTGTTCTACACGCATTATTGCAACACGCGCCAAGAAGCCCAGGGCTCGGCATGGTAATACTGCCCTAACAAAACCCAGAAAGACACCAATGTCTGTCAGCGTGGGGCTGAGGATCCCTGTCACGGTATGATGCAACATTAGGCTGTCACTGGAAACAACAAGGTCATCTGCATGGACTCATGTGGAAAGGTTTCCACACTATATTAACAAATTGCAGAATTAATATGCCTCCCATGGTTCTGTTCGTATCCATTTTTTTAAAGGATAACTATTTATATTGGTGTTATGCATGTGTTTTTTCCCTAGAAGGATACCTGACTATTAATAAGGGCTGCCTCTGATGAAAGGAATTAGGGTTCAGGGGAGTAGACCTATATCATTCTGAATGGTTTTAAAACATTCTTCTATATTCACATCGCTTTTATTTCAAAGAATTAAAAACAAAAAACCACCTGCGTCAGAGACCTGTGCTAAGACAGCAAAGTGGGACATGGGGGACACGGTGTGGGTCACGGGGGGCTCTGGGACAAGAAGGGAGAAGGATGTGTGCGTGTGCTGGTCCGTGCTTGAGGCATGACCTCACACAGGAGCACCTCAGACGGGATTCAGAATGTCTTCAGGTTCTCCTAAACAGAGGAGTGTGACTCCTGCCTTCTTCCTGTCCATCTGCCATCCCCTCTCCCTAGATTATTTCAGTGTCTAAAATCTTTTTATTCTTTAATTAAAAGCAGAAGAATCATTCAAAGAGCTCCTCCAGATCTGACATGGCAGGAAAACTCAGGAAACTTTGTTCACCCACACAGTTGTGCTGTACCGAGGGGTCTGTGCTGTGACAGGCCCCATTCAGGGGACAAAACAGACAAAATCCTTGCCTTCCGTGCATTCTCGGGGCAGGGAGAGGGGAGAGAATACCTGGAGAGTGTCAAGGCGGCGACTGCGACTGGAAAGCGGGAAAGGAGAGAGGTCTGGGAGGAGGTCTGGAAGGTGAGCCAAAACCCAAGGAGAGGAGGGGAGAGTCCCAGGCATCCGCACAAGAGCCCTCAGGCGGAGGGCTGGGCCCGTGAGCAGCAGGAATGTGGGCCTGAGGTCAGATCTCCCAGGCCTCGTGGCCAGGGTGACCTGGGGGCAGCCACGGGGCAGGGGGGCTGTGGCCCACAGCTGCTGTGCAGAGAGTGGCGGGAGGGCAGCACGGTGGGAGCAGGGGGGCAGATCAGGCCACCACAATAACCATGGTTGAGTGGGCCCCCGGCCCAGGTGGTGGCAGGAGGGGGTGAGTGACAAGAGGTGGGGGCCCGTACCTTCAGCAGTGAGCCAACAGGATTTGCTGACAAGGGGGATGTGGCTGTGCATCCGGGACGACTCCGAGGTGGGGACTGACACAGTTCCACTCATTCCTGTTTTTGTTTTGGTGGTGGGGGGGTGGGGAGGGGGGTGGCAAACTAAAAGGCCCGGGACACCCGTGCACAAGAAACAAGGCGCTGCCCCCGAGTCGCCCACAGACGGACACGGAGCCAGGCGCCCAGTCCCATGGAAACAAGTCTGTTCCCCGCCGGAGCCCGGCAGCTGTTCTCTGGGAGCCCTGCAGAGGGTGGCTCAGGTGCAGCTCCATGACAGCCCACCTTTTTGCTTCTGTAGGACGCAGGGAACTCAGACGGAGCCAGAGGCCAGAGCAAAGTGCAATCCGCCCTTCCCAACGTAGCCACCGCACAGCCTGAGGCAGAAGGCTGGGGCAGAGGGCACAACTCAAGTGTAGGTCAGGTCCCTGAAGGCAGGACACCACCAATCCCAGGCTCACGGCCTGAAAGAGCCCCTAGTAGGAAAGGGAGCAGAGTGGGGGATGGAGAGTGGGATCAGGGGAGGGGCTGTCGGGTGTGCGGCACTCCGTGGTCCCTGACACCTGGCACACAGGCCCCATTCCACTCCTTGAACGACGCTGCACCACCACCTCTAGGCCATGGTGGGCTCCGAAGCAGGTGCTCTGTGTTTATGCACATGTCCTGAAGACGGGCACAGGGTCCCATCACCCCTGAAAAGGAGGAGTGGCCAAAAGCCAGACAGATGTGGCTTTAAGTCCTGTCTCTGCTTACTATCTAGCCAATTGACTGTGTAAAAAAAAGGGGGGGGGGGGGGCGCTGCCAGGTTGGCGTCAGGATTAAACGAGAAGCAACTGGTGGAAGGGGCTAGCACAGAACACGTGCTCAGGAAAGCGACTGCACTCAGTGGGCCCTGACCTGGCCCCTGCCTTCCCATTCCTCCTCTCTGTCTACTCTCCCGAGGCCCAGCACTGAGCCACCCTGTCTTGGTCTCTGGGTCTCTGAGAAGTATGTGACCTTAGGTCTGCCATCTGCAACCTGA